TTCTTTTAAAATTAAGTAAATAAATTTGTTTCAACCTCCGTAAATGGTAATATTTTAGTGTCTATTTCAAGAATGTTGACGTTGAAATTCGGGGTCAAGAAAACAATGCCTGACCTCATATACCAGCTATAATAATTTGCAGAGTGAATAATAGAATATCCAAAACTTCAGGATTTGTTGCTGATATAATTATTGTATATTATGTTACAAATCAAAAATCAAAACACCTAAGCTTTTATCTGAATTAAATCACATCTGTCCGGACACATGGTACTGTATTGTAGACAGTTTAGGTAATTTTGATACCCTCCTTGTCAAACCTGAGATATAAGTGTCAATACAATCAGAAATAAACAAACTAGGATGTTAGTTAGGAGAAGAACCTAGCTGAACAGTGTCAAATTTTTTGGTCTCTAGGTTAAAAATTATGAAATCTGTACAGAAAAATGTTCCAAAAGTGTCCGGTTGATGGTCTCTGACCAGTATATATATCCAACTTCCAGTGTGGAGGTGTCTAGTATTAATGATTTTTACTACATTATTATGGTCTTTACCAAAAAGAAAGATATGGTAATCCCAAATTTTTCCAGTGATTCGGACGTAAATATCTGCTTAACTTCAATCACTCTTTGTGATATAGGATTTTTGTTCTCTATCTAAAAAAATTGGAGGGAAAGACTTAATTTATGAAACTGGGAGTGGTCCGTGAAAAGGCAGATGAAATATGGATCATGATGGGTGATGTCGATCTAAAATATTTCTGTATTTAACAATTTCAGAAAAGAAAATCATCATGTAAATTACAGGTAAATCTGATTATCACCCGAAGCGAACCACAAATTGCGCAATAAACAGATAAAATTACAAAATTAAATCACCATGGTTTGATCATAAAGAGAAAAAAATTAAACGTTGACAACCTGCGAACAAGTTTATTTGATGTCCGATCGACATTTTTTTTTAATTGAAAATGAGTCAATATGAGTTCAATAACTTACTATCGATACTTTCCTCTCTTAAACATAAATCTACTGCTTTTTCTGTCCATTTTCCTTGTGTATCCTCGTATATTCCAGTTTAAACTGGTGGGAAATCAATAACTAACTTTCAGTTTGACTAATCTGGTTCCCTGTCCTGTTTATATTTATCATTCCTTAATGGTTCCCATCGGATCCATTTGAATGTTGTAAAGCTTCTTGCAGAATATGATCACTTAATGTTGACTTTCTTCATGGTTTTTATGACATTTTCATAGAATTAAATGGTACAGAAACAAATTGTAAAAAAAATGCTTATTGCACAGAATCAACTCTTTTTCGTAATGACATCGATAAAAACCTGGCAGTAAACTTCAGATAGTTGAAGGTGGCCAGTATATTGGAAGAAGAAGAAAAAATAAGAAAAACATTAATTCTGGAAACAGTCAGTTAATAATTATCTATTATCTACGCAAACTTTTATATTTCCAACGTTTCGATGGGTTAAACGGTTAACCCCTTTTTAAAAGGTGTTTCTGTTTATTTGTGATTTGTAAAAATAAACAAAACTCCTTTAATAAGAGGTGTTTAAGCCCCCGAAACGTTGGAGATATAAAAGTTTGTGTAATAGATAAATATTAATTGAAAAACAAAAACCTTATTTTCAACAAGGCCTTCAATAAACATAAAAATAGACATATCACAAGCAATTATAAAGATTACAACTTTCAGTACATCTTAACCAACAAAGATGACATAAATAATATTATTTATTACATACCCGTGTGCTTTTGCGACTCCATAAAAACGGTATTGCGCTGTCATGGATACATTTTGACGTGACGTCATTTGCGTTACACAAACAAAGTGTAAAGACGCGCTAAATATTAGCGTTACACAATAGGCGCGTTAATGGAAAATGCTACATGTACTTTTTTTTGGTTATATGATAAATAGGACAATAAATTCCTGTAAGTTTAATACTCAATTTATTGAACTCGTTCAATAAATTCAGTAATAAACTTACAATCATTCAATATCCTCTATTTATTACATGACATTTCCGCTTAAAATTGCGACTTTGTAAACGGTAATTTCGATTTTATATTTAGGTCTGATTTGCTACATTGGGACCAAATAACAGACCTGGGACATACGATAAATTTGATCCTGATCTTGATCTCTTAGTTAACACGGTACCAGAAGTGAAGTTAAAAAGATTTTTTTTTCACTTTATTACTATCATAATTATTATTATTGTTATTGTTGTTGTTGTTGTTGTTTTCAAAACTGCGAAGATTTATAATAATAAAAGCTATAATAATGTAATGATGAAAAGGTGATCAAGGGGTTTTGTAAAAGCAAATTGTTGGTTAATTATAATGATCCTGTATGTTTTGATCAATGTGGTAAACCGCACTTTAAGTGAAATTATACATATGTACATAATTACGAAAATAAAACAATTTTCAAACATCGAAGACTATCTAAAATTTCTTATTGTAAAGTTGACTTAAACTTTATAGAAAATAAATTTTTATTACCTCCCTTTATTTACATGAAATGTTAAATTTGGTAAAATGCTTTTTGGAACCTACAATATTGATAAATCTAAATCTGAGCATCATATTTATGATTTAAAACCATAAAAAAATTGTGTTACAGGATCTTTAAATGGTCACAGTCCGCAAAAACTTAGGCATATTTGTTTGATAAAATATATTCTTAAAAAATACAGTTTAAAAGATAATTGTATATGGGGAAATAGTGTAGTCAGAAATATGATGTGACAATTTGTTCAACAAACTGCGCGCTGGGCGCCGAAAGTTAGAAACATTCTTCAGTCATAAGAACTCTTTGAAGTCTGGATATATCACAAATCTATCATATAAGCTATTTGTTTTTTTTTAAGGAACAGATTACGGAATATTTATTTAAGTTGTTGAAAAGATGGCATTATTGGTATATAGGGAGTATAAGATCCCATTTTAACAATCAGTATCTATCCCATATATTGAAATTGTTGAATATAGAAATGCCTTGGCCAAAGTAAGATTGTCACCACACAAACTTAATAGCGAGTTACGAAGACATAATAATATTCCAAGGAACAAACGAGAGTGCACTTTATGTGAATTGATTGTTATAGAAGACCACAAAAAGGTATTTCACTTTATCATTAAATGTCTAAGGTATCCTTTGCTAAGAAATCAAAACTTTCCACGATACTATTAATGCAAAATGAGTATGAGAAAATTTTATTTCGTTAATGTAAATTGATCTAAGAAAAAACTTAAGATTAAGCTGTATTCTGTGATAAAGCATTTGAATTGAGAGGCAATTTATTAAAACGTCCTGGCGTGTAAGAGTTTTTTGTTGATGTTGTTGTTTTGATTTATTTGTTTTTAGGGCATACATTTTTATACAAAACTATAAATGTCACCGTTTAATACCCATTAAAACAAGTATCCATTTGATTTGTTGAGTTATATGTGAATACATGTACATGTATGTGTAATGTACATGTAGACATTTTATATATCTTGTTTCGAATTTATATTTGCTATATAAAATAATTACGTTTATACATATATATACACATGTTTTATTGTATAAAACAGTTATAGACGATTTATCTTATTGTAATATTATAACGTTTCTTTTAAGCGCCAAATGAGGTGTCTATTAACGTAGACGTCTGTTTGTATATTTACGTCATTTCCTTCAGGTATAACAATTCTGCCAAGGGAGGTAATCACTGTGAGGAGTTTGCAAATGACGAAGCTAATAAAGCGAAACATGTATTGATATCTAAAAGTGTGTTGGTTTTGATCTATTTGTCCCATCCTGTTTATTATTATAATAATTTAAAATAATAAAGCAGAAAATCAGTGAAATGAGGCTACTATAGAACTTCGTAAATTTAATAAGTGTTATATATACCTTAAATCATAAAAAGGGAAGTAAATGCTTAAAACATGTAATGTAAAGTTATTCCTCGTCTTAAAACATTCTCACATATCATATATAATTTATTAGTTATGTTAATGTCATGTGTCTTTAATACATGTATCATATGTTGTTTTTGTTTATGTAATATGGTGATGCGTTTGTTATGTTTAATCCAGGTAATAAAATGTCTGTTTTCTTCTGTTCTGATATTGTCCCCCACTTACATGTACCTAGTCCTAAATTACTCATAAATAATAAACAAACTAGCTTTTTCAACCGGAGAAATTTTTACCGATGCCATGTTATCTTGGCTTCACTACGAGAATCAAAAGAAGAGTCGAAAAATGGAATGTAAAAATTAAAAAAGAATCAACATTAGGAACATATAAAGTATTATATCGGTAGTTGTTAAACTTTTTAATGTAACCCATTATAAGCGCCTGCATATACTTAATGTCACGTAATCGAGATCATGGACGAATTCTGTACAATGCTTAATCCAATTTAAGCTGCATGTATGCCTACAGATGAGCCAAAATATTTCAAAAGTTATGTGGTATTTTTAGTATCTACTATTTGGCCCTTTTCAGCTTGGGTGGTTTCAATTTTACTTCTTAAATCTTCTTTGACTTATTTACTTTATAGAAAAAATGGATGAGAGGTGAAGTGTCTTACTGATTTTTTTTTTTTTTTTTTTTGGGGGGGGGGGGATGAAGTGTCTTGAGGGGTGAAGTGTTTTCAAAATTTGAGGGGTGAAGTATCTTGTAGTGAAGTGTCTTGCTACCCTTTTGCATATTTTGATATCTTTTTGTAACTTAAGTGGATTATAGGTTCCTTTTGAATTTTGTAAAATAATTTCTTTGAACATTACTTTTACAATATTTACTCTTGAAATTTTTTTAAAATTTTTAATGAAATAAGGATAAATTCCAGGCATACTGCTATTAAAACGTGTTTCTTTGAATTAAACACGTTTTCACCTTTCAACTTCATGAATATTTCGTGTAATAACTTCATGAATTCACGATTTCATCTTCAAGTCTCCGTGAGTGTGCGTTTAAACTCGATTATTATTTTATTTCAAACTGATGATAAATCAAGTGCATCTTTTCCAAAAATAGTATCTGTGACGTTAAACCGTAATTTATCGGGATTCCCAAACACAAGCATGGAGGGCCAGCAAAAATCTAAAAGTATTTATATCTTCTAGTGTATACTTTATATGAACTTTTATCAATCATTTTTCAATGAATAATGTTCTATTTGAGATGAAATCGCTTTAAATGAGCACATATTCTTCAGTGAAAGTTTTGAAAATTCGTTTTTCATATAAAAGTGTCATAGTGTCCGAATAGTAAATATTTCGGATTTGTTTTAATATTAATACATTTTGATAAATGTACAATTAACAAAGTATATTTGATACCAAAGACATGTACACAGCTTCGTTAAGTACATGATTTATATATTTATTATGCATTTCACAATTGTTACATGATGCAAATAAATAGATCAAGATCCAAAGCAAATATTTATCAGTAAGTTTATAATTTAAGCTGTAAATCGGGAAATACAAGACAAGAAGTATATAGCATGTATGACAATAAGAATAAATCAGTAACTCATTCAGGACAATAATCTGTTAATTTGATGCTAGAGTAACCTGCTGTACATTAGTAATTTCATGTGTCCCCAAGACAAGAAAAGAATTGATATTCAGTAAATAAATATTTATACTTAAGAAATAACATCGGCCTGAGAGGTGTATATCGACTATTTAACACCGGTTTGGAGTTTTGATGCGTAGGAATTGACGACGAAGGCCGTGGCCTGAGTGTTTAATTTTGTCGCATCAAAACGACAAAACCGGTGTTAAATAGCCGATATACACCTCTCAGGCCAATGTTATTTCGATTCTAACACGATAAAATAAGGAAAATCACTAATGTTATTTTTCAAGCGGAAATAACTTCCGGTGCCGATTTTCGTATTACGCTGTTTGATTTTCGCACCCTACTGTTGCGAAGATATAGAAATTATCAAACAAAAGAAATAATAAAAAAAAAACTTTATTTTATCAAGTTTTCAATAATAAAAACTTACGTCGAATTGTGCTTACGTCAGTGCCCCATTTATCATTCTTGTATGTATGAAATAACGTCAGCTTGTTTATGAATGAGTTGTTTACTTAGAATTACGTCATTACGCTGCTTATGGATTGGCGCCGTTTTGTCAAAATATTTATTAACTGATATGGATCTAATATGTGGCGTTAGTGTATGTGAGATATTATTTCGGTATTGTTTGAAAAGAAAACATTATACAAACTGAAAATATAAATAAAAATGCTTTTTATTGTTGCTTTAAAATGCTTTGTAAACTATACAATCGGGGGTGAAAACATAACAGCGCATATATACGAGTAGTCCCTAACCGGTGTTTATTGGCAGTTTAACACCAGTTTTTTTCCTTCTTTGTCTATAGTGACAAAATCACGTGAGTGTTAGAATGTATAATAACTTGTTTGCTGCTGTGTCAATCTCATTTGTTACTAATGTACTGTCATACATGCTTTAACATACCGTTCCATTCTTTGAATGTGAATAAGTAAAGCAGACAATTCATTTCTGATCTTATATTTTTTGAAACAAACATCACTGTCGCATTGTTAATAGTTCTTTGGACCATGTTTTGAACTTGAAGAAGGCTTAACCCATTACCCCATAAGCATTTTGTGAAAAATGGCTGTATTCATTGAAAAGTCTCCATTGCTATAAAACTATAAAAACTGCGTCAATACTAATCAAACTTGGCACAAATAGTGACTGGACCATTGCCTTTGTAACAACATGCTCAGTCTTAAATTTCCTGTTACCATGGCAACTAGGGGACATCTCAAAATTGCCAAAAATCACTATTTTGCGTTGACTTTTTCCATCAAAATTGATTTCAAAGTGCAGCCACTTCTCAATGGATTGAGATAGAGTCCAAAGGCTTTTCAGCGTTGGTTACACGTTACCTTATGATCAACCTGGGGTCATTTTTAGCCTCTCACAAGTCCAAAATTTTCTTGGCGATGAGGGGGACTACCGCCCCCCTTCAAACCCCCAAACAGAAGGTGACACATCCCCCTTCTGGCAACCCCTGATGTGTCTTTTGGATGGGGGATAGCGCCGACAAAGTGGTCACTTTTTTAAACAACATTTCTCAAACAAAAACAAGTGTTTTGGGGCCTAAATAAGGCATTTTTTCACCATTTGAGAAAGCAATAAGGGGGGAGGGGGTGAAAAAGGCGTATATATCTGGTAATGGGTTAACAGTGATATGAAGCACTTTTCAAAGATAAAATTACTGAAATATTTTGTTTAAAACAACACAGGATTGTTTTTTTCTCCTAGCAATAAAAGCTGAAGGCTGAAATAAGATGGCAAAAAATTGAGATAATTCTATCAAAGGAGATTCACCTATGGATAGCCCATTAAGCTAAAAGCTTTTTCCAATGGCGTCCATAGAAATAAAAAATACATAATAATTAAATTACAATCCTTTCCCCCCTAAAAAACTAAACAAATGTAATTAATCCAGGGCCTTTTCACTAGTTTTGGGGAAGGCGCCCTAGCCCTTTTCTTGGGGAAAAAATGCGTGATTTTCACACATTTGGGGAAAATATCATATTTTCACACATTTCGGGGGAATATCATAATTTATTAGCATATCTTTCTCCAATCACATTTAAGGTTTAACTTTACTATAGTACTAAGCTTTCTGTCCAACAGGAGTAAAAGACATTTTTTACAGATCAATTTATATTAACTCATATTTCCTATTTATAGTATTTTACATTGGTCATGTGAGGGTTCTTGGTTTGATTAAGAGGGTACATTATTATCAGTTTATTACTAGTTTATTACTGGCACTGATATGCTAGGCTCGCTATATCCGACTGTTGGGCATGTTTGTGCTACTCGGACAGATGGGCTTGATAGGGGATACATGTATTGGATTCTGTTGCACTAACAAGGTCATCAATTAATCCAATTTTTAATAAACAATTACAAACGTCACTCAATCGTATTTTCTTCTTGTTCTGTGGCATTGTTTACATTAGTGACATCGTATTGGTCACCATATTGTCGTAACAAATCATATGTGCACTAAAAATAAGGCAGCAGGGATTTCCCATGTTGTTTTTAGAAAGTTGCATAACTGGGTTATTGAATTATTAGCTTTCATTGGACAAAACAATTCTCTATTTTTAAACAAGAAAGTTTGTTTACAAGTTTTATTCTTCAGTTAAAGGGGAAATATTTACCAGAAGGGGAATTTTAGTCTGTTTTTTGGGGGAGAAAAGGTAGTAATTTGGCTCGGGGAAGTAGCCTGATACAGGCTACAGCAAAGAAGGGGAAAAAGGCCCTGTAATCTAACTAACTTTGGTCAAGATTTTGGTTGAAAAAGAAAATATAGTTATAAAAGTATGCCCTTTTTAGCTCGACTTTTTTTTTTGAAAAAAAAATAGAGGTATTGCTACAGTCAGGTCGGCGTTGCCGTTGCCGTTGCCGTCCGAAAACTTGTACCTGGATCATAACTTTTTTATTTCTTTGTGTATTGTCTTCATACTTGGCCACAACAACCCTTGGGACAAGACCTTTCAGAAGACCACACTAACCTTGACCTTCATCCATAAATGACCTTGACCTTCAAGGTTAAAAGTCCAATTTTTGCTTGTTCATGCTGTTATTGGCTGTAACTTTGTTATTTTTGAATGGATTGTCTTCAAACTTGAACATAATAATCTTTAAGGATATCCCTTAAAAATAACCAGCCAGACCTTGACCTTCACTCATAAATTACCTTGACTTTGAAGGTCAAATTATTGAAATTTTCATTTTTTTGGCTTTTATTGGCTGTAAGTTTGTTATTTTTGAATGGATTGTCCTGAAACTTGAACATAATAATCTTCAAAGATTACTGTTAAAGATATACCGAAAGACCTTGACCTTCACACATTAATGACATTGTCTTTGAAGGTCAAATTATTGAAATTTTCATTGTTTTGGCGGTCACTGACTGTAACTTTGCTATTATTGAAGGGATCAACTTCATATTATAAGAGAACATTCTTAAGGACCAGACCTTGTTGTTTATCAAACCCATCTTTGCTTGGGCTCTTAAATGACCTTGACCTTGAAGGTTAAATTACTGAATTTTCTCAGATTTGTGCATTAAATGACCATATTTAAATATTTATGGGTGTGTGTGTGTCTATATTTATATATTTACAACAACAACAACAACAATAACTAAAATTGTGTCATTGTTTCTATTTATAGAATTGCGTCAATGTTTCTATTTATAGAATTGCGTCATTGTTTCTATTTAGAGAAATTCGGTCACTGTTGTTTTTTTTTTTTATAGAAATGCGTCATTGTTTCTATTTTTAGAAATTGCGTCATAATTTCTATTTTTAGAAATTGCATCATTTTTTCTATTTTTAGATATTGCGTCATAATTTCTATTTTTAGTATTTTTAGAGATTGCATCATTTTTTCTATTATTAGAAATTGTGTCATAATTTCTATTTTTAGAAATTGCGTCATTGTTGCTATTTATAGAAATTGCGTCATTGTTTCTAATTTTAAAGATTGTGTCATTTTTTCTATTTTTAGAAATTGCGTCATAATTTCTATTTTTAGAAATTGCGTCATTGGTGCTATTTTTAGATATTGCGTCATTTTTTCTATTTTTAGAAATTGCGTCATAATTTCTATTTTTAGTATTTTTAGAGATTGCATCATTTTTTCTATTTTTAGAAATTGCGTCATAATTTCTATTTTTGGAAATTGCATCATTGGTGCTATTTTTAGAAATTGTGTCATTGTTGCTATTTTTAGAAAATGCGTCATTGTTTCTAATTTTAGAGATTGTGTCATTTTTTCTATTTTTAGAAATTGCGTCATAATTTCTATTTTTAGAAATTGCGTCATAATTTCTATTTTTAGAAATTGCGTCATTTTTTCTATTTTTAGAAATTGCGTCATAATTTCTATTTTTAGAAATTGCGTCATTGGTGCTATTTTAAGAAATTGCGTCATTTTTTCTATTTTTAGAAATTGCGTCATAATTTCTTTTTTTAGAGATTGCGTCATTTTTTCTATTTTTAGAAATTGCGTCATAATTTCTATTTTTAGAGATTGCGTCATTTTTTCTATTTTTAGAAATTGCGTCATAATTTCTATTTTTAGAAATTGCATCATTGGTGCTATTTTTAGAAATTGTGTCATTGTTGCTATTTTTAGAAAATGCGTCATTGTTTCTAATTTTAGAGATTGTGTCATTTTTTCTATATATAGAAATTGCGTCATAATTTCTATTTTTAAAAATTGCGTCATAATTTCTAATTTTAGAAATTGCTTCATTTTTTCTATTTTTAGAAATTGCGTCATTTTTTCTATTTTTAGAAATTGCGTCATAATTTCTATTTTTAGAAATTGCGTCATAATTTCTATTTTTAGAAATTGCGTCATAATTTCTATTTTTAGAAATTGCGTCATAATTTCTATTTTTAGAAATTGCGTCATTTTTTCTACTTTTAGAAATTGCGTCATAATTTCTATTTTAGATATTGCGTCATAATTTCTATTTTTAGTATTTTTAGAAATTGTCATTTTTTCTTTTTTTAGAAATTGCTTCATTTTTTCTATTTTTAGAAATTGCGTCAATTTTTCTATTTTTAGAAATTGCATCATTGTTGCTATTTTTAGAAATTGCATCACTTTTTTATTTTTAGAAATTATGTCGTTTTTTGTATTTTTAGAAATTACGTCATTTTTTCTATATTGAGAAATTGCGTCATGTTGCTATTTTAAGAAATTGCGTACTGTTGCTATTTTTAGAAATATGCTTAATGTTTCTATTCATATATATACAAAATATATAAAGAAAACTAATGTGACAAGACAGACCAACTAAATTTATAAAAAGGAAATGTTAATATATGTTCAAACCTTTCTATGTTTGCGTTAGGAAAAGTAAAAAGTCGAGCGTTGCCCCCGCCCGGCGGTGGCTCTTGTTTAAATAAACCTAGTATCACTTTCATAGACAAATATTATATCACATTGCCTAACACATTAGTAGTACACATATACATCTTCTGATAGACTTTTTTAACTTTCTAGTAGGTACTTTTTAACAGATTTTTATACCCCCCCACAACGAAGTTGTAAGGGGGGTATACTGGAATCAGCTTGTCCGGACATCTCCCTGTCCATCCGTCGGTTTTTCCTTGTCCACCCAATAACTTGAGATTCCTTTGGCCCACAGTCTTCATATTTGGCATGGAGGTTACTCACGATTAGTAGATGACCCCTATTGATTTTAGGGTCACTGGGTCAAAGGTCACTGTCACAGGGGCCTTGACTTTAAAAAGCTTGTCCGCCCAATAACTTAAGATTCCTTTGGCCAACAGTCTTCATATTTGGCATGGATGTTAGTCATGATTAGTAGATGACCCCTATTGATTTTGAGGTCACTGGGTCAAAGGTCAAGGTCACAGGGGCTTTGACTAATAAAACCATGTCCGCCCAATAACTTGAGATTCCTTTGGCCCACAGTCTTCATATTTGGCATGGAGGTTAGTCATGATAACGGACGTCTCCCCGTCTGTCCGTCGGTTTTTCCTTGTCCGCCCAATAACTTGAGATTCCTTTGGCCCACAGTCTTTATATTTGGCATGGAGGTTAGTCATGATAACGGACGTCTCCCCGTCTGTCCGTCGGTTTTTCCTTGTCCGCCCAATAACTTGAGATTCCTTTGGCCCACAGTCTTCATATTTGGCATGAATGTTAGTCATGATAACGGACGTTCTCCCCGTCTGTCCGTCGGTTTTTTCCTTGTCCGCCCAATAACTTGAGATTCCTTTGGCCCACAGTCTTCATATTTGGCATGGAGGTTAGTCATGATAACGGACGTCTCCCCGTCCGTCCGTCGGTTTTTCCTTGTCCGCCCAATAACTTGAGATTCCTTTGGCCCACAGTCTTCATATTTGGCATGAATGTTAGTCATGATAACGGACGTCTCCCCGTCTGTCCCGTCGGTTTTTCCTTGTCCGCCCAATAACTTGAGATTCCTTTGGCCCACAGTCTTCATATTTTGGCATGAATGTTAGTCATGATAACGGACGTCTCCCCGTCTGTCCGTCGGTTTTTCCTTGTCCGCCCAATAACTTGAGATTCCTTTGGCCCACAGTCTTCATATTTGGCATGGAGGTTAGTCATGATAACGGACGTCTCCCCGTCTGTCCGTCGGTTTTTCCTTGTCCGCCCAATAACTTGAGATTCCTTTGGCCCACAGTCTTCATATTTGGCATGGAGGTTAGTCATGATTACGGACGTCTCCCCGTCCGTCCGTCGGTTTTTCCTTGTCCGCCCAATAACTTTGAGATTCCTTTGGCCCACAGTCTTCATATTTGGCATGGAGGTTAATCATGATTACGGACGTCTCCCTGTCCGTCCGTCGGTTTTTCCTTGTCCGCCCAATAACTTGAGATTCCTTTGGCCCACAGTCTTCATATTTGGCATGAATGTTAGTCATGATAACGGACGTCTCCCCGTCTGTCCGTCGGTTTTTCCTTGTCCGCCCAATAACTTGAGATTCCTTTGGCCCACAGTCTTCATATTTGGCATGAATGTTAGTCATGATAACGGACGTCTCCCCGTCTGTCCGTCGGTTTTTCCTTGTCCGCCCAATAACTTGAGATTCCCTTTGGCCCACAGTCTTCATATTTGGCATGGAGGTTAGTCATGATAACGGACGTCTCCCCGTCTGTCCGTCGGTTTTTCCTTGTCCGCCCAATAACTTGAGATTCCTTTGGCCCCACAGTCTTCATATTTGGCATGGAGGTTAGTCATGATTACGGACTTCTCCCCCGTCCGTCCGTCGGTTTTTCCTTGTCCGCCCAATAACTTGAGATTCCTTTGGCCACAGTCTTCATATTTGGCATGGAGGTTAATCATGATTACGGACGTCTCCCCGTCCGTCCGTCGGTTTTTCCTTGTCCGCCCAATAACTTGAGATTCCTTTGGCCCACAGTCTTCATATTTGGCATGGAGGTTAGTCATGATTAGTAGATGACCCCTATTGATTTTGGGGTCACTGGGTCAAAGATCAAGGTCACAGGGGCCTTGACTTTAAAAAGCTTGTCTGCCCAATAACTTAAGCCTATTGATTTTGGGGTCACTGGGTCAAAGGTCAAGGTCACAGGGGCCTTGACTAAAAAAACTTGATTCTAAAATTTTCACATTTGAAGCATGGAGAATACATATCTTAGCAATGCACTGGCTTAGTAACCTCAGATTTGGCAGGGTGGTTGTCCTTGAGTTCTAAATGGCCACTGTTGATTCTGACAAAGTGGTATGCGGGGGTATTTACGCCATGACAGTGGCAGTTCTAGTTTAATTTGTACAAAATTATAAATTGATTTTATATATTCTGGCAGATCATTCCAGTCTTTAAATTAGTTTAATTCCATTATAAAAAAGGTCTGTTTCATCACAGAATTACACTGGGGGACAATAAAATTAAATTTGCTTGATCTAATAGTCAGACAGTTTTTATATTATCTCTGTCCCTTTTTGGACTTATTTTCAGTGATAAAAACTGCTCAGATATATTTATATTGACACATTATGATAAACAGATTTATTTCCTTATATTTCTATAATGAATTTACTGTTGCTTGTGAAGACCTAACATTCATGCACCTAAAGTGCAGATTCATACCTCAGATACCTATAATTATCAATTTATCACATAGATTTTACAAATCTGCTATTATCACAAATTACAAAGGTTGCTAGTTCAATCCTAAGAATAGCACAAAATTTCTCTTCTATAACCTTTTTTTATGCCCCCACAATGTGGGAGCATATAGCATTGCACTTGTCTGTCCGTCCGTCAGTCTGTCCGTCCGTACGTCCCCAAATCTTGTGAACGCAACTCCTCTTAAACTGGATGGCAGATTTTGCTTAAACTTACAGGGATGAACAACCTTAATGTGTAGATGGTAGTAAAGGAAGGAATTTTTGCTAGGACCAAATTTAACAGAATTATGGCCCTTTGTTGATTTTTTCACTAGATACTAGATCCAATAACGTTACATTGATACAATGTATAGTACTAGTATCATAAGTATGAAAGCTCTATAGTGTGTAACCTTCATTTACCTTTTACATCACCCCTTTGGATGTGCAGACTCCACCCACTCTTTATTATGGACGTCTCTGATGGCACTTCCTAAATTATGGAATCCAAATGTATGCATTCACCAGTTATTGTGCATTGATTTATTTTATATAATAAACTTTGTCAGAAAATATAATATATTCATATAAGGTTCTTGTCAAAAGTAGTGATAAGCACAAGGAAATAAATGATTCCATTATTTGTATTGTGATGAATATTGTAACTGGTAGTAATTTAAGCAAGCTATCACATACATGTGCCACTTTTGTAGCTCTATATAGAAACATTATTGCATGGCAGTTCATATACATGTATTTTGATGCAAAGCCATTTGCATTAAACAAACATAGTATATGTTAAATTTAATGTTACACTATAAAGGTGTCAATGAAAAAGTGATTCTCAGTTCTTATTTTAGATATGTGATAAATCAGGGCCTTTTTTCACAGGTTGGGGAAGCAGCCCTGCCCTTAATTTTGGGGACAAATTACACATTATATTGCAAAAGGGGAAGAAAAAAATTTGATGTAAATTCAATTTGGGGGAAAACTGCATGATTTTATTCTTTGGGGAAGCAGCCCTATATCGGCCCCTGCTATAGAACGAAAAAAAAGCCCTGTAAATAGATTATTATTTACTTTCATGTGTGTCGATTTGGTACACTTATTGAAATTGTTGAATAAACTCAGTATTGAACCTACACTCATTCAAAATCCCTTATGCATTGTACATGTAGTGAGGTACATGTACTTACTACCACATTATACTGGGTTTATGATAAATTATCACATTCCTTTATTTCTGTTCAAGTAGTGTTGTTGTCATGTTAAACACAATTCAACTCACTGCATTGTACATGTTTTTGTTTGTTGATAGAAGACCGCAAGAAGCCTCAGGTGAATGAAGAAGATCTTCTAACAGTTCCTGAAGGCTGGAAGGATCCAGGGATTACTAAAGAGGATAATCCACATGGAGTTCTTGCAGAAAGCTCATTTGCAACATTGTTTCCCAAGTACAGGGAAAAATACCTACAAGAGTGCTGGCCCTTGGTGAAGAAAGCACTAGCTGATTATGTAAGCATAGGAAAATATTTAACATTATTTGTCTTCATCTTCATCAATTCATGTCTTATAGATTGATGACATCACTCTTTATTGAACCCTTAAAGGGTATAAAAATATTTGTATAAAATTTATAAATGGCAAAATTTATGTATTTATTTTATAACTTTACAATAGGCTACATGATTAATATTGCTTAAAATATGTTAAAACCTATGTAACCAGAACAGGCAAGGATCTGAGCTGTTCATCAATCTCTATTTAGTACATTGTACCGGTACTCATTTTGAAATTTTCCCTGAAAATGATGAATGGTATTGTCCATATTGAAAGGTTGACAAGACTATTTAAACTATTATTGTATGGGTGAAAGTATTCTTGAATATTTTTCTTGTTTTTAGTTACTTTGTCTTAAAATGTTTACATACAAATAAAGGACAGAGCTTTTTGCTAAAATCATGATTGTTTTGGCCATAAAACTTAATTATGATCACTGAATGTTCTGTATTTATTGTTTTGTTATTTTAAATAGTAGTTTTAATTTGTAGCATTTGAAGGCAGAGTTGGATCTAGTTGAAGGTTCTATGACAGTAAGCACCACTAGGAAGACATGGGACCCTTACATTATTATCAAAGCTAGAGATCTTCTTAAATTGTTGGCTAGAAGTGTTCCATATGAACAGGTTTGTATACATACATGACGTTAACACTTCAAATAGTAATTGAGGGGTGGCAGGTTCAATTTCAATTTTAAACAACATGTGATCCTAATGGTCAACTTATACAGAATGACAAATATTGTCAACGAGAAAAGAAAGAAAATATTTTACCGCCCATGATATAAACGACCAATGAAAAATTGTTATGCCAATATGATGCATAAATAAATTTAGACCAATGAAAAGATGTTTTGTATAGGTCAAATCATTCAACCTGATAATTAAGTTATTTTTAGATCAAAATAAACAACATAGTGAAAAAAAGTCTAGATTAAAGAAGTGTATTGATAGAACTAGTGTTGGTTTGTCACTAAAATGAACTTTTATCCATAATGAAATGATAAAGTAATTGCTACAATAGACTTACTTAGTATATGCCAGAATTGCTTATAACTACAAGCAAATGGAAATTGTATTCTTTGTTGACAGGTTGTTGTATTAGAAAGTAAAATTTTATACTTTTATAAATAATTTTAAATAAACATTTTAGTGGCATTGAGTCCTCATCTGTAGGTAGTCTTTAAAACAAAAAATAAACCTACACTTCAACTTTTAAATAACAAATATATATTTAAAGTTTGTGTACATAACTTTGTTTTGTTTCAATTAGTTTTATATATTTAAAATATTCTCATTATCTATGTTTTAACAGGCTGTACGAGTTTTGGAGGACAATGTTTTCTGTGATATAATAAAAGTAGGAACTCTAGTCAGGAATCGAGAGAGGTTTGTGAAGAGGCGACAGAGACTGATTGGACCAAATGGTTCCACATTAAAGGTGTGACAGTTTACAGTCATATAAGTTCCTTCTTAATTGATGATTCGCAAATTATCAGAAGATTTTTATACATTTTAGAAGTTGTAAATTTTATACTTGTAGATTTTTCTTTGATCTTCATTTTGAAGAGGGATTGTTTGGGTGCCTGTTATTAAGCAAGTTGTCTGCCCATCAACATATGGTTATTGATTTGTGATATACTGTGTTCATGACTTTATATTCAAGACAGTAGATTTTCATTTGTAAATTATTACAGAATCTTAAGCTATTTTAGAATCAAGTTTAGTTATAGACTTAAATAAACATACAAATGTTTCCGGGATATATTGTGTATTAAAGATAGTAATAATAGGTGTTGTGGAGTTATAAGTTTGTTGTTGTAGAGGTAGCATAAACAACAAACAGTAGAAATTCTCTTTTATTAAACTACTAATGCATACCATGTACATGTATACTTAAGTTAGTTCAGCCTGTGTCAGTTACACAAATAATTTTACTGATAGATTTGTATGTTGATCAAATGTCATCTTTTTATGACAAGTATTGTATTATATATTGTAACATACGAGGGTTGTCCCAAAAGTCCGTGACAAATCTTACAGATGGTTCATTATTAACGGCAATAGATATTAATTCACACATATAACCTATAAGTTTATTATTTTACAGTACAAAAATCATTTACAAAATATCTACTCGAGTTACTTTAAAATTTTCAATATTAACAACATTTGTTTGAAAATTGGCCATACCTTCATGAATATATCCGCATAGTGTCCACCTCAAACATATTTATGAAAAACATTTAAAACAAATAAATATTTTCAATTCTTTATGAAGTAGTAGAATTATTTGCCGATTTGTAATGTATTTTTAAAACAACATGTAACATTAACTAAATTAGTATACTAAACTATGATGCTAAATAATCATGTTTTATATTAATCTTAATTAAGGCGTGTTCCTTATAATTGATACACCTTAAACCATTTGTGTTTATTTTTTGTTGAAGTTTTGACAGATATATTTTATGTTTTAGTTACTTTGTATCTTTATTGGGTGATATTAACACATGTAACATAAGATGCATGCCTGTAATTATAATTATGCTTTAAGAAAAAATCATATGTTATTGTGTGTGTATGGAAATATGCATGACATTTAATATTATGATTTATTATTTGAGGTGAAGCTCAGTACGCCTACAATATTTTAATCAACAGATTTTGCGTGTTCTTTCAGTAAACATCCTACTTATAAAAAGCACTGAAATATTTCAAGCTAGTATATAAACAAACTTTAAAGGTCAAGGTCTTTTGAGAAAGTTGTGGGAAATTTGCTGTGCTTGATTCATCATTTATGTTGAAATATATGATTGATGATTAGATTATGTAGATTATGTAGATGAATTTGCACTCAATGCATGATATATGCACATTTACTATGATATCATAATGTGAATAACTGCCTTTTATGTAATGTTATTGTGGGTGTTAATTTTTTTATGGTATGTAAAATTACCTTTCTGTATGTTTATGAGATCTAGCATTTGGTGCATGATATAGGTACATGTCCAATAACTCAGGTTTTATATGATATATCATAACTTGAATTACTGAAAAACCATTTGTATTTTTTATGTGTTAAGTAGATATTTTATATTTATTAATTGCATTTCCCCCCCCCCCCCCATTTGTTTCTTAGCACTGTATATCGTTCTTAACATATATGGCCCGCCTACTTACTTTAGATATTTTCTTTTACATTCTTTTCTAGCTCATACTAAAATTATAACAAAAAGATGTATTTACAAATTCTCGACAGCTAAAGCTGCATTTTGTGCCTTACTGTGTAGATGTCCCCTCATTAAGCAAAGACTACATACATGTATACATACAGAACAATTAAAGGATGATGTTTTTTTTTTTTTTGGTGGTGTTAAATAGTTTTCTTTTAAGGAAGTAATTAGAAATAAATTACAAATAAACCTTTTGTAATCTTAAAAACCTAACCAATGGGAATTTCATAAACACATTACATTCTAATTTTTATCAAAATATGAAGACACCTGTACAGTAAGTTAATTTCCATATTTTGTTGTTATTATTTTCAGGCAATAGAGTTACTAACAAATTGTTATGTGCTGGTGCAAGGTAACACAGTGTCAACTCTTGGTCCATACAGAGGTATTAAAGAGGTAAGATATAATTTTATATACACACATGTATACTGGAAACATTGTATTAGTGTGCTATTCTTATGGTTTGTATGGTAGGGCTGGGGCAATTAATCAAAATGAAAAATCTATTATATAATTTTGTAATCTCCCGGGCCTAGAGGGCAAGTGTGAATTCAACTTTATGCAGATACACTAGTGATGCATTCCATCAGAATGGCACATGTAATTTATCTTTTATAATATACATTGTGTGGAATGTGTTAAGAAAATGTGGAAGCCTGCAGGGATTATTTTTCCATGTAAATAAATGAAAGAAACTTCAATACACACTTCAGACTTATGGTGTAACAACAAGTGCAGTACAAGATGTGGAAAACGGTAATATTTCCACATTTCTTTAGTTGAAAATGGCCATATCTTCATCAGAAAACAACAAAAATTCATATGTATAGGTATATAAAGAATATTTTTTCTAAAAAAAAAAATTAAAATTACTGTAGCCTTGATAGCAAATCTATGTTTTATATTTTAGGTTAGAAATATTGTGATAGACACTATGAAGAATGTTCATCCTATATATAATATCAAGGTAAGTTCTCACCCTGTTATGGGCTGTTCATTGCCGAGTGGTCAAGGTCATTGACTTCAAGCCACTTGCCCTCTACGCTGTGGGTTTGAATCCGGCAGGGACTTAGGATTCTTTCATGTGAGGAAGCTATCAAACAAGCTTCTGGAACATGAGTGGTTCTACTCAGATGCACGTTATTGCCTGAAATAATGCACAGAAGGGCACCTGAGGTGTTCCTCCACTTGCAAAGCTGGAACGTCACAATATGACCTATACTGTGTTGGTGCAATGAATTACTATGAATACTTGTATGTATCTGAAAGGACAGTATATAATTTGTTGTAATATATCAAGGTTTTTTTTGTGAGAAAATTGAATTGTCAAAAAATATCCAGTCTGATTTTAATTTTTTCTATATAATTTTCATCTAATTTGAAACAACTTGACTTGTTAACATTGATGAAAAAACAACCATTGAAGTTGTGACTTAAATAGGTAATCATACATGATTGTTAAAAGTGTATGACAAAATACAAGTATTGCTAATCAACACTGAATAAGAGACCAAGTGTTGTTCAGCTTCCTTATTTTGTGTTGAAGCTGATGTGTCAGATCCCAAATAATTAACATACTGTTGTATATTATTGCTTGAAACAAATTAGACTTCACATTCCTTTGATCGGTTGTGTTATTTTTAAAGAATGTTTAATTTTTCTCCTTCAGACATTAATGATAAAAAGAGAATTGGCAAAAGATCCACAATTAAAGGATGAAAATTGGGACAGATTTTTACCAAAATTTAAATCAAAGAATATCAGTAAACGAAAACAACCCAAGAAAAAGCGAGACAAGAAAGTATACACACCATTCCCACCTCCACAACCAGAGAGCAAGGTAAATATATACTAATCTTACCTCCACATGTAAAGAGTAGTAATCTCCAGCTAGCTTATGGAACATCGGTGGTTCTACTCAGGTGCCCGTTTGTGCCTGAAATAATGCACAGAAGGGCATCTGAGGTCTTCGTCCACTAGTAAAGCTGGAACATGGCCAAATGACCTATACTGTGTCGGTTTTACGTAAAACCAAATCAAACAAACAAATAAAGAGTAGTAATCAAATGATTGCTCACTGCATGGGTTCAAACCCCGTCAGGAGCAAGTCGTTGTTTCCTTGAGCAAGAAACTTAACACTCATTTGTCAGTACTGTTTGGTTCCAAGAACAGATTCCAAAGTGTATAATTAAGCTTATAGTTTCCTACACAGTCAAACTAAAATAAATTAATTAAATTAAAATAACTTGGCACTTTGCCCAGAAAAACTCATTTTGATGTCTTTTTATAGTAACATACATCAAGTTCTGTTACCTCTTTTTCAGTACAAAATGTACTTCAGTAATCATTTTTTTTTAAAAATATATCCTGATGAAGGTCTTGAAAGACCGAACCGGTAGATCCTAGAATAAATCAGTTACAAACCATCCTGATGTTTGATGTGTATTCTCTCCTTCTCTTGATTTACTTGTTAAAATAAATTAAGTATAAACCAAAGAGTAGATTATTTATTAACAAATCTCTTAAAGATATTTCATTTCATAATTAATACAAAGATGCTTATGAATCAGAAAAATCCTGCTCTTTAATAAGATTCGAACTTGTGCCTTCTATTCTAACATGCAAAGAGAAAAGAAGACAGTGCTCTACACCACTGAGCCTTAAAGGAATTGTGTTGGGTACAAACAACACATGTTCTATAGCCGTGTTGAACTTTATATAAATCTTTATGTTACTAGGTTGACAAGGAGCTTGAAACAGGAGAATATTTCCTTAAAGAAACAGAAAGAAAATCAAAGAAGAAAGCTGAGAAAAGGGTAAGAAACTGAAATCATAACATCTATTAAAGGGAGATAATGATCAAAGTAAAGTCAATGTTTAAATATTGTCTTATGTAACAATGAAACATAGCAATGTATAGCTTAATTAGCTTTTGACATGAATTACAGAAATGTGAAGATGATCAGTGGTCTAAAGAAACTTATTTAATTTAGATTCAAATAATTATTTTTTTACACAGATTCTGAAATACATCCATGTAAAAGAAAATGTATTTACATACATGTATTTCACTGTTTGAAGAAAAAATAGGAAAAAATATTGATTCCTGCAGTTTTGTAAATTGAAAGATAAAATTAGATCTTTCAACAGATGAAGATTTCCCTGATGTCAGTTAGTTTTGTATCAATAATGTCTGACCAGTCACACAGTCATGCATATATTTTGATGTTCTATAAACATAACATTAAGACGCATCAATGAAAAATGTTTCTTTATCACTTAAGATTTATTTTTGGTATGTGATGAATAGAATATTGAATTCGTGTAAGTTTATTACTAAATTTATTGAACTCGTTCATTCATGTATTATTAAACATATAAATACTGTCTGTATATGTAAACATATAAATACTGTCTATATATGTAATTAAACATATAAATACTGTTTATATATGTAATTAAACATATAAATACTGTTTATATAAGTAATTAAACATATAAATACTGTCTATATATGTAATTAAACATATAAATACTGTTTATATATGTAATTAAACATATAAATACTGTCTATATTATATGTAATTAAACATATAAATACTGTCTATATATGTAATTAAACATATAAATACTGTCTATATATGTAATTAAACATATAAATACTGTCTATATATGTAATTAAACATATAAATACTGTCTATATATGTAATTAAACATATAAATACTGTCTATATATGTAATTAAACATATAAATACTGTCTGTATATGTAATTAAACATATAACTACTGTGTATATATATGTATTGTTGTATATACAGGAGAAGGAGAAAGAGGCTATAGAGAATAGAAAGAAAAAGAGAGCACAATCATTTGTACCACCAGAGGAGAACACTGTGGTTGCTAAGAAACGGAAGATAGATGATACAGGAGTTGATGTAGAAAATCTCAAAAAGAAAATTAACAAAGCTCAGGTACATTGTACAGGTTTCATTTGCTCGTTTTATTGTCATTTTTTTCACAACAGTATTTTTAAATCTTTTTTAAACATGCTTGCTGAGAAGGATTGTTAAACATTACACCTCAAAATATCTGAATGGGCTTGTCCATCTAAGAATCTGGACAAAACCATTCATCAGTTTTATGGCAAGGTTTAAAATAACAAGAGCGATCAGTGATCACATGTGTCGCCTCATGATGGCCAATTTCATGTTGGGACATGTTTTGTGACAGACGGAGCAGTGATCGGAGTAGAAGCGACATAAATTCCTGTAAAGTTAGGATGAAATTGCCCCAGTAGTTTATGAGGAGTAGTGGGGACAAGTTTTGTGACAGACAGATGGACAGACAGTGCACAACTACACTTGGTACTGATCATTCCTGTAAAATTTGGATAAATTTGCACCAGTAGTTTATGAGGAGTAGTCCGGACAAGCTTTTGTGTATCTGGCAACACACAGAAAAAAACACCTTTTTATCAAAGGGCCATAACTCGGCCAAAATCATTCAACCGGAAAACCCGTGCAATATGCTCAAGGACTTGAGCTACAGATCAATCCTGTAAAGTTTCATTGAAATTGCATTAGTGGTATAAGAGAAGTAGTCCGGACAAACTTTAAAAATAAAAATTATTAAAGGGCCATAACTCTTACAAAATCATTGAACCGGAAAATGCTGACAATATGCACAACTAGACTTGGTACTGATCATTCCTGTAAAGTTTGGATGAAATTGCACCAGTAGTTTATGAGGAGTAGTCTGGATAAGTTTTGTGACAGACGGACAGACGACGGAGAAGTGATCCCTATATGTCGCCACTACTCCGTAGAGGCGACACAAAAACTGACTCAAGAGTTTCAATGCAGACCATGTTAAAATAAAACAACTGTGCAGGCCAATATCAGTTCTAATATGTTAATATGACAAATTTAAAGGGTTTTGTGCGTCTCACAGTCAATTTCAAGGAAATCTATTGCATATCAATTTAATATATGTTTTATCATTTCAGAAAAGGAAATCAGTCGGTGGTGACAAAACGTGAACGGATAATGCACCAGTAAAATATGGACTGAATGAATGAGGAGCTTATTTGTTTTCATATTTGGGAATGAATAACTAATTAGTGACACAAGACATGTAAAGTTCTGATGTAGACAATCAGAAACTAAAAGACCGGTGTTTAAACTGTGTTTCATTCATGAATGAAATATTTAACCTTTCACCTGCTGAAAATGTTTGTAATGGATTTGCTTTGTTTAGAAATTAGAACAGCCTGTTCAAGGCTTAAGGAATTGTGTTATCTAGATTCCTGCTGGTGCTTGTAATAATGCATGGAGAGGCAGCCGAGTGTTCCTCCATCAACAAAGCTGACAAGGTTGTCATATAACTTTAGTGTCAGAGAGACTTAAAACCAAGTTTTGGCAGGTTAATGGTTAAACAAAGTAATTTACATCAGAGAGAAAAGTTTCTATAATATTAACAGCATTGAAAGTTAATCTTTTGACTATTATAGTACATGTAGGCTAATTTCAGCTTATAGAAGTTCATTCATTGAAGATAAAGACTATTTATGTGTCACATGTTTGTAGACAGTTTGTATTTGAACTTGAAAATTGTCAAGAAGATGCAGATATTTTTGGTCAGTGAATGTAGTGAAGGCAATACTGACATCATTGTGTAAATATTAGTTACTTTATGTGTATATACCAATTAAAAACATGAAAATCTTTGTAAATTAAAGATGAAAATAAAAAGTGAAAATCTGCACTTTTCTCAATACATCATCTTTGTTAAAGCCTGAATCTATGTTTGGTGTCAAATATATGTAGTAATAACCTTACATATACCTAGTGTTAAAAAAAAGGTTGAAGGTTCTCTTCAATTATTGCATGTTAATCACACTTTAACCTCTTTTATCCAATAAAATAAATTAATTGGTTTGTGATATCAATTTTGCACAGGGAATCTTGACTAAATGACTTTTACTAAGCTGGCAGCTGATGTTAAGACACTCAAGTTATTTAGTTTGGCAGCCCAAAAATGCTGCATTCAAAATTTACAACTTAATACTACAAAAGGGGCAAACTGGATACAACATTTTGCCTCACATCATGTAACAAGTGTACAGAATGATAAAATCTGCTGTAAGACTATCAAGCTTCAACTCATTCAATATTTACTTATAATAAATTAACAACACATTACATTTTGTCCATAATTTTTATTATCATAAAATGACAAAAAAATCACCACAGACAAATCTTATCAGATTAAATAATGTAAGTTACATATAATACTTCAAACTTTTTTTTACTGCCAGGATACAAAACAATAACTACAAAAGAAAAATGGTACATATAGTAGTCTGTGTACAGAAGTGGTTTAAAATACCATATCACATAAGATATTTGTTCATTTGTGTTTGCTAAACTCTAACATACTGGGACCTACAGTGCTTGAGTTACCTGTCTAGAGCCGGGCAAGCCTGTATATCCGTGTATATACTGTTGGCTGAATATCATTAAATTTTCAGTTTTATATCCCAAAAATAAATAATAGACTGTCACAGTTCTACAATTGAATGGTTAAAGCACATCAGTTGAATTTTTAATCTTTCATGACAAATATTAATACAGGTACTGAAATACTTCAGATTTTACACTAGACAATAAAAGTTCCAGATTTTTATGTTCACAAATAAAATCATCGCAACTTTATTAATGCGAGGTCAGTGTATTTAACACAGTTAATATGTTTAGTACATTTAAAAGTGTAATGATTTATGCTTCAAAAATAATTCTGAAAATAATCACAAATTATTACAACATGAAACTTAAGCAACATTTTCCTTAATAAAAAATCACATTAATGATTCAGTTGGATTTCATAAGAAATGGGAAGCAAGGCAACAGCACCTTGTCCCAATCTTTTCAATTATTAACTAATCATACAAATTTCATTTCAAAATATGATGAATGATTATATGCTGCCTCAACTGTAAAATTAAATTTTTCTGACACAAAATTAGTCTGTAAAGGAAATCTGTCCTGTCCAAAATCTGTTACTGAACAACAAAGTTTGATTATGAATATATTTACCTATATGGTCAATTAAGGGGTCAATTAATTTGTGCACTAATTTACAAAGAATAAAGTTCTTGTACAGTGGTTTGTTGAGTTTAGATGGAAAGGCCAAAATTAAAGCTGTCCACAGACAGACCAACATTATGACCTCTAAGACTCCCATCTGGGCTACATCATACCACCTTCAATAAAAAAGAATGATAAAGGTATATAGTAGATTCATGTTTAACTTATGAAACCAAGACATAATTTTCACCTTATGCCATAAAAACAAAAGTGTCGGTTACAAATGGAAAATGTTTGATATTGATGCTGATTACTTTTGATGGAAATTACAACAACAACAACAAAAGATGTGATAGTTTGGTGTACAAATGTATCAATAAGAAAGAAAACAAACTTCTATGTACACTGTTTATGCTCATTTAAAAGAAAAATTATGGAAATGCACAATTCATTTATGAAACCTTATTATATAATTACATACATATCAATTTGCACCTATCAAGTATTGGGGAGTTTCTATCAAAACAATTACATTAGATGTGAAGTTTTCTGATGAAAATACAGGTATGATCATTAAATGTAAGAAATGAATCTGACCAGATCAAATTTTCCCTTATTTCACACTACTCATTGCTTGATTTGTCACATATTCATCTTGACTTAATATTTTACCATGAATTAAGCCTTATTTATGTTAATATCCTTGTTTTGTTTCTAATGCTCTAATTTTCTTTACTTGTTATAAAACAATATACATATACAGAAAATCTTCTACAAACATTCTATCAATTTAACAGATCACATCTCAAAAATTAACAAGAGCACCGCTAGGCGGAGCATTATATGCCCGAAAGTATTTTTTTTTTTAGTAAGGATGACCTTAACCGTTAACCTTTTGACTCCAAAATCAATAGGGGTCTTCTACCCAATATGGACAATCATCCTATGAAGTTTGAACATTGTGGGCCAAATGGAACTTAACATATGCTCCGGCAAATGTTTTCAGTATCAAGGTAATAGTGACCTTCACCTTTGACCTTTTGACCCCAAAATCAACAGGGGTCTTCTACCTAATATGGACAATCATCCTATGAAGTTTGAACATTGTGGGTCAAATGGAACTTAAGTTATGCATGGAAACATATTTTTCAGTATCCATGTAATAGTGACCTTCACCTTTGACCTTGTGACCCCAAAATCAATAGGGGTCTTCTACCCAATATGGACAATCATCCTATGAAGTTTGAAAATTGTGGGTCGAATGGAACTTAAGCTATGCTCTGGAAACTGTTTTCAGTTATAAGGTAATAGTGACCTTGACCTTTGACCTTTTGACCCCAAAATCAATAGGGGTCTTCTACCCAATATGGACAATCATCCTATGTAGTTTGAACATTGTGGGCCAATTGGAACTTAAGTTATGCTCCGGAAACTGTTTTCAGTATCAAGGTCATAGTGACCTTGACCTTTGACCTTGTGACCCCAAAATCAATAGGGGTCTTCTTCCCAATATGGACAATCATCCTATGAAGTTTGAACATTGTGGGTCGAATGGAACTTAAGTTATGCTCTGGAAACTGTTTTCAGTTATAAGGTAATAGTGACCTTGACCTTTGACCTTTTGACCCCAAAATCAATAGGGGTCTTCTACCCAATATGGACAATCATCCTATGAAGTTTGAACATTGTGGGCCAATTGGAACTTAAGTTATGCTCCGGAAACTGTTTTCAGTATCAAGGTCATAGTGACCTTGACCTTTGACCTTGTGACCCCAAAATCAATAGGGGTCTTCTACCCAATATGGACAATCATCCTATGAAGTTTTAACATTGTGGGCCAAATGGAACTTAAGTTATGCTCCGGAAACCAAATTGCTAACGGACGGACGGACGTACGGACGGACAGACGGACGGACAGACAGACGGACGCCAGGGGGTATAACATAATATGCCCTTTCGGGCATATAAAAAAGATTATAACTGTTTTTCATTTTTTCTTAAATAGATATTTATCCTTGATTAAATATGAAAAAGTAATAAGTTACAACATAAATAAAATCTAACAATGCTATAAATCATAAATAATTTACCTTAAAACTATATCACATAATTATAACCTTTTCAAAATGATTTTACTAGTACACATTTTTTTCCCCCATTTTTAAAATAAATCTTTTTATCAATATAAATGAAGTATAATTATTTTTTTAGAAAGTGGATAGCAATTTTCAGGGCATTGTAGAATAATGCATGGTTGGAGTTTAAATGTGCAGGAATATAATCACAAAGGCCGATAGGCTAAAATAATTAATTACAAAATATTTGAACAATAAACAGTGCATTATTATGCTGTAATGCAAAAAAAATTAATATCTATTTCCATTCTAACATGCTAAGAAAAAAGAGGTTTGATAAAAATACAATGTATGTTAAACAACATTTGGCGTACAAGTAATTTTCTTGATGTCAATTAGTTTATTGACCTCATATCTGATGTCATATCATATGTTGTGTAAACATTTGTTTTTTTATGCTGTGCATATCATGTAATTCTGTACTTGATTGCCCTATCTGTTTCGTAAGGGTATTTTGTGAATCATGTTAGAATGTTAATTTAATATAACATGATTAACATACAGAGGACTGAAATAAAAAAAACATAACTTAAAAGTTATTAAATATGGCCCCAATAACAAATATAATTTCAAAATACAAAACATATCTGCAACTAACAAATAACTACTCTTTATAAAGTCTTTTAATATAAACAACTTTTTAATCAAAATCAACACTACAATCAAAAGTTTCAAGCATAAAAACGATATACCTAATACCTTGACCTTTATAATGTATTGGTTCAAAATAGCCTTGAAGTGTAGTGTATTGACAGCACTGTCAAATTTAACATTATTTTAAATTATATCTCAATTTTATATACAACTTCTATATGATACACGTGTAACATACAGTAATATAACTTACCGCCTTTCTTCTTCTTAACATTCATAATTAATTTCTTACGCACATAATCTATATATACATGTACACCATTTGTCACACGTAAACAGCTTTCAAACCATTAATATTTATTTCATTTCGCAATTAATTTGAATGATTTCTCAAGACAAAAAATAAAATCACAGATAAGAAAATAATAAAACTTAAGAAAAATGTATAAAATACAAAGGAAATTCTAATGTAAAAATCTGTAGAAAAATGTCCATGTTGGTGGATGGATTTGATCAAAGTGATTTACACAAATTGGTAGTTCTCACGTGGCACATTGAGTGGCATTCTGGGATTGTTGGTTTCCTTCCCTGGGATATCAAACATGGTGTACCAATTCATTCTACTAGGGCGGAATAGACCACAGCATCTCCAGTTCATCAAATCAACAAGGTTCTTGCAGACTCCACGACTGGAAAAAAAACACCAGATTTTATGCAACCTTTGAGAATCAAAATTAACTGCAAATTTTTTGTTTAACTGATACAAAGAATACTTCCAAAATGCTTGTATGAAAAGAAAACAGTAGTAAATAACCTTAAGAAGCAAAAAGTGTATACAAGAAATCATTGCTAAACGGAAAAATCCCTACTTAAAATAACAATATTTTGTTACGGAACATTTTAACAGTCATTATTCATGCATGTTAAATAACAGACATTATATGCTACAACTTTTTTTTTTCGTAAATTGACCATAATATATGAAAACAGAATTATTTCACTATTGATACATTTCATTAAAATAATTCATAAGATAAAGGTAAGTTTTATAACCTTTTCAGAAACAACCAAAGATATAAAAATAGCATCATTGTACAGTTTTTGTAATTCATTCTGTATAGTTCTCACCAGTAAGTTGTTACCATGGCCTTTATAACTCTGGGGAAAGTTATGAGAAAAAAAGGCTAGTTTTTACCTTTCATCTGTATACAAACCAATGGGTCAATGTGTTTGTGCTGTTTTGGTGGCAATATGGCTAGGGATATGTTGTAATGTTGGGTTTTTTTTAGCCAGGATTTTACTATGGGTTTTTTAGCTTGGAATTTTTACTATGTGAGGTTATTACAGAACAGGGTGTTTACCAGGGATATCAAAATCCCTGTTTTCCCCAAAGGTACAGAGACCATTTATGCATTTCATCAGTTGTTACGACAGTATCATGTTATCAATACATACTGGAAAGGATTCTCATAGGCATGTTTGGTGTGATCCTTGAAGCAGTGTTTGTCCCCGATACCATGAGAGTGACCATGATTATCACCAGGTGGCGCTTTACCCTCTGCCTTACGACGTTTACTCATGGCGTCAAGATAGAAATATCTCGCCTGGTTTAACCTCTCATTTGTGGTCATACCAAGCCACATTATCTGAAATAAAAATACAGGAAATGGAAATACTTTGCATAAATTTACCTTCATAATGTCAAAACTTGTACTATTTAGTATTTAAATCTTTATACATCTATTTAGCTTTAAATCAAATATCATTATACACAAGACATAAAATGGTATAGAGCTGTTTATAAAATTATGAAAAGTATCACCTTCAATCACATCATAATCACATAATAATTACAAAATACTCCTGATTTTCCTTATCAAAATATCCTTAATATCATCTCTTAATACAAGTAGAATTTAACAAAACATGAAAATGACTTAAATCAAATAAATTAAAAAAATTTGAAGGGAGATAATAAGAATATAAATAAGAATAAATTCACAATGTTGTAAACATGTACACAAACCTACCAAGGAATACTAAGTAATAATAGATACATATAACTTATCATTGTTTTGTTAGTCATAATTATATCACACAACCTTGCAAATTTTGCCACTCCGTAAAAATGGTATTTCACGGCCGTGCATATATTTTGATGTGATGTCATTAGCATTACACAAACACAGTGAAAAGACGTGATAAATGTAAGCATTACACTGTAGGCACGTCAATGTAAAATGACTCTTTTTCACTTTAAACGGTCTATTTTAGGTATGCGACAAATAGAATATTAAATTCATGTAAATTCATTACTGAATTTATTGAACTTGTTGAATAAGATAATATTATGCTCACCATATTTTATTCAACTCGTGCAATAAATTCAGTATTGAATGTACACTCATTCAATATCCTCTATATATTGGTCATTATAAGCCTATAAATATGTCCAGTAACTATAGTAATGAAAAAACACAATGACATACCTGATACAGCTGACTAAGAAGGAGTGCCCCTACCCACAAGAAGTGTAAAAATGAGTTGAGCCCGATCCAAAACACCCATGGTGACGGTTTAATTACTTTCCATAATATGCCTGTGAAACCATCATCATAGAAACTCATTGGTGCACAGTTTGCTTGCCAGTCTGAAATACAATGATATAGTCATATTTACTATTCATGAACACTTTCCCTGTTACTGAATTTGAATAATGGACATGGCCTGCTTTACATGTGGAATAGTCTATTGTAAATTTCAGAAAATACAAGAGAAAACATATACAATGAAACATCCCTTCCAATATTACATATGAGTCATTCTGGTTGGTTCTAGTGCTGATCTGATGCTTAAAGTCTGTCAATTACACTTCTATTGGTCCAACAGTTTAACATAATTTATGTAATAAGTCCAACAGTTTAACATAATTTATGTAATAAGTCCAACAGTTTAACATAATTCATATAATAAACATTTAACTAAATATTGGCTAAATAGCAGTCAATAAAACCTTTATACTGGTAACATAAAAAATTGTTAGTAGTTTATTAATAACCTATCTCTCTTGTGTAATTATATCTCAGTTATATCTAATAACTGTCTTACAGTTACCTTTATTTAAATTTTACTCAAAAATCAGCAACATGTTTATCTCTTTTTTCTCATTTCAAAATAAAATTCAAATATTACTAAGCCTGGCCCCAAACAGGTTACAATTTGTAAGAAATTAATAAATAATAAATGTCTTGCAATAATTAAAACATGATAAAACTATTTATAACAATACAAATAATAATGCAGTATCTTTATCACTATTTCTTGCAAAAAATGCGTCAAAGACAGAAATGGCTGGGTTGCATTTGTATAGCAAATATTAAGAGACTGTGATGTTATGAAAATTTTCTACCAATTTGACCATTAATGTAAAATTTTCTACTAAATCGTTAAACAGGAAGTGGATGAGTGACAGACCTGAAGTAAAATCCCACGGTATGGGACCACATGCCAAATATCAAGAGGTTGGGATAAGTAGTTGCTGAGAAAACTGTTACGAAACTTTCCTACAAATGACAATTAATGTCGAAAATTTAACTAAGTTGGCAAGCAGGAAGTGGATAAGCGACATAATCTTAATAATTTAAAAAGTTTAAACTTACAACATATGCATCCATAGATACACCAGCATATCAAGATATGTAGAAAGAAAAGATACAATACAAAATACTTGTGGGTATTGGCACCTGAAAATATAACCATAGACAAAGTTATACAAACATTTATTGTCAAGTTAAATTCAAAAACTATTACCATGTTTCATGAACCAAATTGGGCGTCCATGGCCGAGTGGTTAAGGTTGTTGACTTCAAACCACTTGCCCCTCACCGCTGTGGGTTGGAATCCCGACAGGGACTTTGGATTCTTTCATGTGAGGAAGCTATCCAGCTAGCTTACGGAACGTTTGTGGTTCTACTCCGGTGCCAGTTTGTGCCTAAAATAATGCACGGAAAGGCACCAGAGGTCTTCCTCCACCAGTAAAGCTGGAATGTCGCCACATGACCTATAATGTGTCGGTGTGACGTAAAACTGAATTGAACAAACGAACAAACAAGAACTAAATCTTACTGTAGAAGCATCCAGTAAATACTAACATGGTAATTTTAATTAATGTTGTACATCTATATAATTCTACGACTGTATATTTTTTCAATGTCACAAGCAGGCTGTTTGGTTAAACTTTTAACAAAATTGATTATGCTTATTTTTCATCTTCTGTTTCTTGTTAACTGGAAATATCAACTTCATGCACTCTACATGTAACTAAAACAAACTATATTTTGCCACATTATTTTCTATTTTTAGGATGTTTTTTATTTGCTTTTAATATTTATTATTGCAGGTCATGTGATTTTTGTCGCCAATGCTTGTTTGAGCAATACTCCACATGCTTCTTAACACATTATTTCCAGCACATACTGGAACATGTATAGATCACATAACAAGCTAGAACCATCATAAAATGTGCTTTTAATAATGATATTTCACCTATTGAACATGCAAGATTTCCGTACCAACTTACCTACACAATTTTCTACCCATGGACAATGATGATCAAACTTAGCAACACATTTGTTACATACAGAACAATGCTTTGACCTGAGGGGTCGACGTATCAGACATGTTGTACAAAATTGGTGTAAATGTAATGATTGTGTCTCGGCTAATTCTAGAATACCCTGAAATATAAATATAATTTATAAAACTGTAGAATGAAACTCTGCCAAATAGATGACATGCAAGAGCATTTGGTTAACAACTTTTAACTAATGGCACAAACCCATAATTCTGTGTCGGGTTGGACTTGAAAAAAATAAGTAGAAGCAGTGCTGGTATGGAACCTACAAACACTCACCAGTTAACTACTTCCTGTTTCATAACTTAAATATTGTAAGAAACATAAATTTGCAAACCAAAACAATGTTACAATACTGAATTCTTAAGTAAATTGTACATGTAAATTAATTTGGGTTGTCTTTCTTTTGAGTATCATATACATAAATATCAGCATAACATGGAATATGCCAATGTATATTTACTAATAATAGTTGTACATTATTCAAACTGAGTCTATATAATCTAAAAATTTCATTTACTTAAATAAATTATTCTTAGGAAAAATAAAAAAAGTTGTTAGTTAGTACATGTATTTGGAAACTATTCTCAACTAGAACTGTGTCCAAAGGACACGGATGCCCCCACTGACAACATATATATGGTATATAGTGAAAAAGTCAACAAAGGGCCATAATTCTGTTAAATTTGGTTGCAGCAAAAATTCCTTCCTTTACTTCCATCTACACATTAAGGTTGTTCATCCCTGGAAGTTTAAGCAAAATCTACCATCCGGTTTAAGAGGAGTTGCGTTCACAAAATTTCTACATAGTATATAGTGAAAAAATCAACAAAGGGCCATAATTCTGTTAAATTTGGTTGCAGCGAAAATTCCTTCCTTTACTACCATTTACACATTAAGGTTGTTCATCCCTGGAAGTTTAAGCAAAATCTGCCATCCAGTTTAATAAGAGTTGCGTTCACAAGATTTCGGGCTGTACGGACAGACGTACGGACGGACGGACGGATGGATGTACGGACGGACGGACAAGTGCAACGCTATATGCTCCCCACTTTGTGGAAGCATAAAAATTTAAATTCCATCTTGTGTTATTTATTCTGTTCAATTTCCTTCAGTTTTAATTTGATAATCTCATCAATCTCACAATAACTACCTTTATTTTCTCTGTTCTATCAGCCTTAATGAAGCCAGGGTCTGTCTTCCATGCCTTATAAAAGTTGAAGGTGAGCAATACACTAACTATCCAGAATACAACATCTTGTAACAATGTAGCTTCAACAAGTACACTTAGTTAAGGTAAATCATCATTTATGTTGTTATTATTTTACTATACAATACAATACTCTTTATTGGTAGCCAGGTTACAAACAGGGTAAGAACATGATAAGTTATCTAAAATATTAACAATATGTGGGTTAAATCATATATTAATTAGCTATTTATCAATATAAGGTAAATGAGCATAATGCCGCCATTTTAAGTACCAACAATGCTTCTACTTATACAGTATACAGGTTTGTTTAACATGAAGGAGTGATTACAGATATGAAGGCTGCCTAGAACTTACACAGGCGATACAGGCAAATCATTATGAACCGCTACATGTAAGCTAAACATTCAAGCTTAGCAAGAGACTGACAACATATGCTTACCTACTCATAATGTAGCACAATAAATCATTTAAACTTGCTTTCCTTACTTAGAATCAGGGTACAAACATTGGAAACAAAAGAAAATTTCCTTTAAATATCATATAATAGACACAAATTCTTTACACCTGACCCCGTCATGAATTACTTTTTCAATAACTTGATATGTGAATAAACAAATATAAAGGATATCTGGATGTAAGTATAGGAACCATGTTGTATACATCCACAGTTTAGTTGCCAGGTACCAAGCTACAGGCATTATAATCCACAGACGATCATCAAAGAAAAAACTGAAATATAAGATTAAATTATGTTGGTTCTTCTCATATCAATAATTCTATTGTTACTTTAGGTTTCCAGTAAGGTCATAACCTTCCAGTTTTATTAATGTGACATATTGTCAGGTTTTTACATCTATGCATTATTTCAGGCACAAGTAAGCTTTTTTAGCACAAGTACAAACTTCTATAAGCTTGCTGGATAGCTTCTTCATATCATGAAACCGAGGCAGGTTTCAAATCCACAGTAGTGAATGGCAAATAATTTGGATTAAAGACTTTAACCATTTGGCCAAAGAGAACCCTTTATGCTGTTTCTAATTTTTATTATTTCTATGTTAAATCATTAAAGTCATTATTGTCATATAATCATAATTGCTGTATTAATCTTAGTGAAGTACTTCATTTTACTCACAATTTAATTATAAAAAGTTTCAAAGTCATTTTATTTTTGTACATATGTTATATAAGAGTTACATTAGAATTATAAGATACTAACTAGGCACAAGTTCTCCAGTACAGAAACAGTATCCCAGCAAACAATGCCTTTATCTCGACTGCCAGGGAGCTTTCTGGTATGAAACCCACTCCAAACAGCAATATAAATGGGAAAATAAACATCATCTTTCTGCGGACAGCCTGAAATCAGAGTGACAAATTTATATCAAACAAGTATCGTCTTACCACTGATTTTTTTACCATGGGCCTTTTTCTGACAGAATTTTTATATTGTAGAATCTTTTAGGAAAAATATCAAAGTATTCAATCTAAAATTCAATTTGTGAGGATTTCTCCCAAGTAGTAAATAAAAACACACTTAATTTCAGCAAGTTCACACATTTATTTATATTAAGAAATATGTGTAAATGAAAATTAACTTAATAAAACTAGAACTATCACTAAATGTGATTAATACCCCCCACAAGACTGCTTCGGAAATGTGGATGTTACTAGTAACAGAATACCTTGTAAAAGAATTGAAATATAGAGTTATGGTTGTGGGCAATTAAAGATAGTTGTGGTTCTTGTATGTTGCATGTCCTTTCATTGAATTACTCTGTATTAAGAATAAGTCCAGAAAGACAAGGAAAAGGAACAAAGGGCAATAACTCTATAAATACTGAAGATGGAGTTATAGTTCTTGTGCACTGCACTTCCTCTTATTGTGCTTGACCATTGTATTAAGTTGTTTTGAATTCCAACCAGTACCTTTTAAGTTATGCTTCGGACAAGGAAAAGTACCAAAGGGAAGTAACTCTGTATTTTGTCAAAATGGAGTTATGGCTCTTGTGCACTTCACTTCCTTTTAATGTCCTTGACAACTGTATGAAGTTGTACTGAATTCCAAACAGTAGTTTTCAAGTTATGCTCTGGACAAGGAAAAGTAACAAAGGGCCATAACTCTGTAATTAGTCAAGATGGAGTTATGGTTCTTGTGCACTGCACTTCCTCTCAATGTGCTTGACCATTGTATGAAGTTATATTGAATTCCAACCATTAGTCTTCAAGTTATGCTCCGGACAAGGAAAATGCAACGGACGTCTGGATCGACCGACCGACCAACAAACCACCGGGTGTCTCCTATATACCCCCCAAACTTTGTTTTTGGGGGTATAATAAATCTCCCTAGAGAAACAACTCTTGGCAACAACCAAAATCTTGGTCTTCAAGTAAAACAAACTATTCTTACCTTATTTGAGGTATATTTGATAAGGCAATGAGGCATATCTAGCCCTCGTTCTAGACGAAGCTCTCGGATTTTTCTCACTAAGCCTGGATTTTTCTGTTGTACTGCTATATCTAAAGGTGATTCACCCTGATGTAAAAAGCATGTCTAGCATTTGAGAATGAACAACCAATATGTTATGGAACAATATTAACCCTCAACATGCTGAATATTTTAAATGGACTTGTCAATTTCAGGTATATCCATTTAAATATTTAAAGTTTGTAAGCCAACAGAATAGAGCCTGGACAGACTGTACGGATATGCAGGCTGGCCTGGCTCTATACTTGTGTCAAATGCCTAACGCTTTTGGTTCAAGCACTTTAAGGGTTAAGGGCATAACTTAAATTTGAAACTTTAACATAAAGAGATCAATTAAAACATTAATATAGATATACAGTATGTATATCTAATTCTAATTTGTTACCTTTCATGATAAAATATATTTGATATTTCATTATTTCTAAATTATTTATTTCTACTTTCAATTCTAGTCCATTTTCAATTTTGATGACAATACAATGGTAAACTTATAAGGCATACGGTGGTTAAATACATGTAATATCTAAAGCAAAAATTTCAGTACTTACCTTTGCATTTAAGGCATCAAGCTCTGCTCCTTTGTCCAGCAGTAATTTAGCGACTACATTATTACCTGTCGTACATGCCCAGTGAAGGGGCGTGTTCTGCTGGAACTTGTCAGATTTGTTGACTGCGGCACCAAATGTCAGCAGTAAACGTGCAGGGTCATGTCTGTATTTAAAATATTAAACATTTCATTCATAAAAACAACATGGTCACAGTTACTTCCTACATGGCTATTCTTTGTATAAATGAATCTCAAAAAATAGCTTATTCAATATCATAGTATAACATACTCTAAATCTATCTGTTCTCACTGCAGGTCTAAAGTAATTTTGTCAGCCAACAATCATGTTCTAAATTGGATTTTAAAACAAATACAAGGCACATAATACAAGGCACATGTAATGTATCATGTAATATATAAGTTATTTTCATTTTATTTCACTTTAAAACACAATTAACAAGCAATTATCATAGTATTGCAAGCAATCCATAAGTCCCCTACCGGTTAGAACCCCATAAGCATTCTGAAGGGCCATTGGCCATTCACTAAAGTTTAAATTTTTCTCTATTTTAAGTAAATTTGTTGGAAATGTTCTTTAAAAGTGATCACAGGAAACAGTTTTTATGAACAGACAGACAGACGGACTGAAGGACACTCTAAAGTTAATATTTGAAACATCCCTGTTACCAAAATATAACATTTTAAAAAGCAAAATTCTTAAAGAGGAGATAACTCTGGAATTAAAGATGCAATTTCATAAAAATTTTCAGCTCTTTTTGACTAATCACAAATATTGTTATATTTGCCATGTTTTAAGCCTATTTGTTGCCAAGGCAACCAATATTTTTTCAAAATAGGAAGAACAGATAAGACATGCATAATCTCAAGACTGCCATCTACCCACATGTCAAGTTTCATAAAAATATTTCCAGTACTTTTTGAGTTATCACTGGATTCAGTTTATGTGTAAAATTTGCCATATTTTCAGTCTATGTGTTGCCATAGCAACCAGAATTTTCAACATAGGAAGAAAAGAAAAAGACGTGCATAATCTCCAGACTGCCATCTACACATATTACAAGTTTCATAAAAATATTTCTATTACTTTTTGCGTTAACACTGGATCCAGTTTATGTGTAAAAACTGCCATATTTTCAGTCTATTTGTTGCCATAGCAACCAGAATTTTCAACATAGGAAGAAAAAAAAAAGACGTGCATAATCTCCATACTGTCATCTATCCATATATCAAGTTTCATAAAAATATTTCCAGTACTTTTTGAGTTATCACTGGATCCAGTTTATGTGTAAAATTTGCCATATTTTCAGCCTATTTGTTGCCATAGCAACCAGAATTTTCAACATAGGAAGAAAAGAAAAAGACGTGCATAATCTCCATACTGCCATCTATCCATATATCAAGTTTCATAAAAATATTTTCAGTACTTTTCAAGTTATCGCGGGATCCAGTTTTGTGGACGGACGGACTGACGGACGGACGGACGGACGGAGGGTAAACCTAAAGTCCCCTCCGGTAAACCGGTAGGGGACTAAAAATAGTATACGTCATATTCTATTTATATGGCAAACTTGAGTTTCACCATTAAAAGGATTTTATCAGATGAACACTGTACATTATTATAAAGTAACACACATACATATGTATAGAGAACAACAACATTATAAGCTACAATATAAACGTATGTTACTGACAACAGAATTTGCTATTTTGGCAACAAAGTTATAGGAAAGAGGGGCAAATAATTTTACTAGATGGAATTTTGTTAAATATAAAGGTATTGTACCCAAACACTCTGTATGATGCCCACATGAGAGCAGTCATTCCATTCTTGTCTAACATATCAACATCTTGTCCCTTTGCTATAAGATATGCTACAATAGATGTATGTCCAAATTGAGATGCCAAATGTATGCAACTACAACCTGAAATATATAAACATGTTTATCATATCATTCACTTCATTAACATTCAAAATAAATACATTTCTTCAAACATTATAATGTTTCTCCAACAGTGATTTTATCACTAAATTAAATCACTGTTTGGAGTTTGGATGTGAGGAATTATATCATTAGGGTGTAGCCGAACGATATAATGCTGCACATCCAATAGACAAACAATGGTTTTATAAAGCGATAAAAAAATTGTTTGGGATATATTATTTTGATTCTAACACAACATCAACAAATACACAATGCTGTGCCTGATATCAAGCTAAATTGTGCCTGATTTGTTTCCGTACTTATTTTCAGCGCGTCACATTTTTAATAGTTACATCACAAGACTAAAATTAGATCGTCAAAAAATGATTTTATTGCATATTTACACACACTTTCGGTCCATCAATGTTCAATAGGGCAAAATGCGGATTGTATTAGAATAATAATTTTATTATTTTATTTACAACAGTTGAACTTGATAACAAAATGAAATTATTAATGAATCCAATCGATGATAAAAGTTCCACTATCAAACTCTTTCATTATGACATAAAATCAGTTAAGTTTGTTTCTGTCACAGTGTAGATAACACATAGAAACGTCAAAATAACAAAGTTAGTAGGATATTGAAGATCTCTTTCCTCAAAGGTATCTGTTTCAATACTTAGACTGGCAGTCATACTGTAGTGTATAGCTTCATCAAAAATTTTAAAAGTTTGCTATGCTCAAAGAAAATTTCAATGGATAGTATAAATGTTAAAAGTGGCAAAGGGGTGATGCGACTGATAAACTATTACTTACCTTCTCCATCCCTCAATGACGGGTCAGCTCCGTATGATAACAGTAAAACTACCATTGGTAAATGTCCCTGTCTATATATAAACAATGTTATTGATTATGAATACAAATACATTTCTCTCAATTACTTTGTTCTACTTATGAATTTTGGTTATCCATATTGGGAATTGCAAATAAATGTCTTATCTCTTATCCTACTTATATCTCACCCCGGTAAATCTCTAGTATAAAACCCAACTTTTAGAATTTAGACGATTGGTATAACAACACTATAGAGCCTGGTCAGACTGTATGCATATACAGATTGAGCTGTTTTTATAAATAATATACAAGAACCAAACAATCTGTAGCATAGGTTCCATAATGTAATAGTTTAAAGCTGAATATAAATGTATGAATAACATTCCAAGATCTGTCAGTAGCACAGCATGCTTGACTATTCCTGTCCTTGATAGAAAACCAAGGGCTATACTGTCTTATCAGTATCTGCTTGTTAATGACATAAATTGTATCATATGAGGTTTTTGGTGGGGAACGATTAAAAAATCATTTCAAACATTAAATTGGTAAATATTCATTAGTAAACATTTACAAAATTAGTTTGTTGAGGTCTTGCACCACTTTTGACCAATTTAATTTTGCAACTGTTTACTAATGAATACTAACCTATACTAAATGAAAATTTGTTATTGTAAGAATCGTATAGTATGATGTAGCTGTTGTGTACCTTGTTGCCCAATGAAGAGGTGTAGAGTTCAAATCTCCACCAAATCTATCAACTATTGCCTTCTTTGACATAAAATACCTGTAAATAAAGGGACAATTCAAATATTACATATTACATGTAACTACAAACGCTCGCCTCTAAGCACTTTGTATTCAAATGAGCTAAAAAGAACAACAAATGTTTTGTAAAAGAAAAAAATACTGATGGTACTTTATAGTACATGTAAAATAAAACATGTCTACCATATCAAAACATATTTTTCAATGGAAACATTTCACGGGAATAGATATTAGATTTTCAAAATGGAGGTCATGATCTTAGTTGAATTCTTACCTGACAATATCTACTCTATTGTTGATAGCTGCCCAATGTAGAAGACTGACATTCTCTTTATCCATCATGTTAACATCATACCCTCCTTCAACAAGCTCCTGTATCCTCTCAAACACTCCATACTGAGTAGCTCGAACAATATCAAAGTTCTTAAAATCTTCTGGACCAGGCTGATGTATGGCATTTTCTGATGGAACAGGTGATAATGTTTCAGCCACCTCACCCTATATAACAAGGTAAAACAAAAACTTGTACAATTTACTTAACCATAGCCAGTTTCTCTACTCATTTTTCACCTTAATGTGTGTATATGCCTACAAGAACTATCTAAATCTAGTCACTTTAAACTTCACACATGTCAGTAAGTCAGTAGGGGTAAGGGTTAGAGGGTTGCATTAAAGACAGTGGCTAGCTGAACATGAGTCACATACAACTAGCCTATACAAACTGTTGAGGCTAGCCACGCAGCATTTTTAAAATAAATAACCTAAACAATAATGAATATGCAAACTTGTGTTTCTAAAAGAAGATTTTATTGAATATCATGAAAACTTTATCAATAACAAAAACTGTATTACTTTTTAGCGTTTCATGACCGAAAGTTTTTTCTTTTATTTTGAAAATCACAGACTATAATAATTTAAGTCAGAGAGAAAATACCAAGAGCAATAAAATGAAACATAATTAAACCATTTCTATTGAGTATTGACTACATTTGTAATAAAAAATGTCATTCCACACACTTTTAGCGGGCATTGATAATTTCAAGCTGGTAGTTTGCTCACCATTAAAAGATGCAGTGCACCTGTTTTTCATGATTGCATAAAAACGCTGTTATGTCAATCACATACTTAAATTGACAATAAAGTCTGTGGGTCAATTTCCAGTGGTAGTTAGATTATGACAAAGTATTTTAATTAATTATTTCTTGTAAATAGAACAGAATTGCCATCGGCTCACAAAAAACTCATTAATCAAACTCAAAGGTGATTTCATTTCTCATAGATTTATCCTATATATCTCTTCATAATATAGTCATTCAAGTGTTCATTCTTTGTGGAAGTGTTGTAAAACATGCAAGTTAATGCCTTCATTATTGCATTTATCTATTATTGAAAAAATGTTGTACGGCTACTGGTTTCCTTGCATTTTCCAGCCCCAAGTCACACTTTTTACCAGTAAAAAAAGACTCTGTCAAAAGACCAGTACAAAACTCTGACAGTCTCAGAACACAGAAAGGTACCTGTCTAGCATTTCCATATTTCAATGTTGCTCTTTTACTAACTTTATCATTGGAATATGGGCCTGATAATTTTAAATTATATGTTACACCTTTTCTCACGTTTATTCCAAATTTCATAGTGCTCGGTTTTCGGACCTTTTCAAATCGAGACATCTATAGTATAATTTCACTGTCAGTAGAAAAATCTCTTAGCTGATCGGAAAGTGGCAGTATGGGGATACCTTAACAAATCGTTGCATTCAATTGAATTTGAGTTCTACAAATCTCTAAAATGGGTTTTTAAAGACATTTTCTACAGTTTTATGAAAAAATAATCCTTTCATAGAATTTTCTAAATTTTTTGTATGATGAGTAAAATTTAATGACGAATTCAAAAATAAAAATAAAAATATATGTTGACGTGTTGGATTTCTTGTAAAATGGCAGTTTCCATGGTAACCGTATATCTAAAAACTGTCAAAATAGCCTAACTGTGTTATAATGAATAGAAAATGTATGAGATAGCTTAAAACACACAACGAGCATTGTTTTATGCAAAGATAACCTTATCTAATGATTCTGTATGAAACAAATGATAATCTGAACATATTTCTTTAAAAAATGAGTTTTCCATGTTCTTCAACCGAACAAAAAATGAGAAAAATGAACATGAATTCTCAGAATAATTAGAGATATTGAAAAAAGTGTTTCATAGAATTTTCTAATTTTTTGTATATTGTGTAAAATTTAATGACAAATTCAAAAAGAAAAAGAAAAATATATGTTGGCGTGTTGGATTTTTTGAAAAATGGCAGTTTCCATGGTAACCGTATATCTCAAAATTGTCAAAATATCCAAACTGTATTATATAGTCTGATTTTATTGACCTGTCAATTATGCATACATTATAGGACTCATTTAAATATTCGATCCCACTTCGGTTTGGTCCGTGTAGTTTACGAGAATTAATGAGGAGTATATTAGTCATGGATTGAAAGTCACGCTAGTTTAATGTGAAGGTTTTCGTTAATTCACAATAGTACAGTCGGTTAAGAGAATGCCTGATAATTGAGAGGTCTGTGGTTCGATCCTTATTGTTGCCATTTTTTCTTTATTTTTGCAGTATATTTTAATGGAACAGATTTGTATGGTATTTTACGGCATTGAAAAGACATTTATTGATTTTAATCCGTTTTAATTTTAAACATGAATTCTTAAAAAATGTTATTTAGAAAGAGTATAGACATAACAAAATTAAGTAAAACATAATAAAACAAAACGAACAACATAAAATAATCATATATAGCTTCAATAATGTTGAAAGTACTAATAAGACAAAACATGGACCAACGCGGTTTCGAACTTAAAACACGTGTTGCACTTAGTTTATAAACTCGTGCTTTACCCTATTGCGCTATAACGCTGAGTACACTTAGTTTAGAGATACAAATTAAATTAAATTCCTTCGTACAGCGTACATCTCACGACACTTACCGAAAATCTACCGAAGATTAATATACTGTGTGCATGGACCGTGTAATCAGTATGTAATTGACAGGTTAATAAAACCAAACAATAATAATGTATAAAATAGCTTATTACACTCACAATAAACATAATTTTATACAAAGCTTGCTTTATCTTAGGGTTCTGTATAAAAACAAACGATAATTTGGACATATTTCTTTAAAAAATGAGTTTTCATGCTTTTTAACTAAACAAAAAAAGAGAAAAATAAACATGAAAATTTTCTTTAAAAAATTAAAGCTATCAAGAAATTTCTTTTATAGAATTTTCTACATTATTGATATATCAAGTAACATTTGATTGTGGATTCAAAAATAGAAATAAAATATATATGTTGAAGTTTAAGTTTTTTGTAAACTGGCACTTTCCATGGTTACCGCATATGCCAACTGTCAAAATTACCACGCTTTCTTAAGAAATATCAGTGTTATACTAAATGTATTGTCAAATATAAAACATGTTGTAATAAGAATTTCTTTTTCTTTTGATGTTATATTAAGTAAGTGATACTGATTTTTTTTTTTTAAATATCTAGGGCTATATTATTTTTTTTCACTCGACTAACATACCCGAACAGTAAGCAAGTATTCAGTTTTTTTATTCAACACTTTTAAAGTATATCATTTTAAACTTCTTTGCCCAGTTGTCTGCCAGTAATCAAGTCGCGACGCACTTTTGTCACTATTATACCACAAGTGGGTGGGGTAACGCGCGCAGAATTATCATCAATGCTGTCGTACTAATGCTTGGAGAAATACTTTATGTGATGTTGTCTAAACGACATTCTTATTCTTTTGAACCAATCTCCTTTTGAACATTTAGAAATATCTATTCTGTATTATTTACTCATTATTTGCTTATAGCCGAAATTTAAACACTTATCCGAATACTATTCAACTTTACCTTCATTTGAAGAGTAATTATACGCGATTTTCTTTCTTGGATGCGCATAACGATGCGCACAGAAAACTACCGAAAACGTCTTTAATCCTGAAACCAAGTGCTTATGAGCAGCACAGGGGAGGGGTGCTCATTATGGTCTTTGACACACGCCAAATACCTGTGATGACGTGACAGAGATGTCTGATGAGCAGTTAGTCCTATAAATATGACGTCGCTTTGAGATATTTTTTGCTTCTGGGCAAAGCAACGTCATATCGAAATTGCTCAAAAACCCATAGCATATTTCGCCAGAAAATCAGGCGGAACGAAAAACAATTAAGACAGCGTGTATTTACATTAGTTTTGACCTATTTATGAACAGTACTAAAAAATAAATACCTTTTGTCAAAATAATTAAACTGTCACATCCGAAAAATCATGATTAAGTCCTCTCATGTATTTAAATTCCTTTTACCGCCGATAAACAAATGGCGGCCATACAGTGCACAGAATCTGATTGGTTAATTCAATTGCAAGCGTTTAACTGAGTCAGAACATTGTAACGGAATATTTTTTAACGAAATAATTACCCATGCACCGTCAGTGTGTTCGAATATATTTTTCCGTTCAAAAATTTGGAATCAATCTGTAAAGCACCTTGCTTAACCAGTATGGCTGATAGACAATAATACGGGGAAGTCAAAGACCGGGCCCGCGAAGCGGGTCCGGGCTTTGGCTTGCCTGGCTATAGACTACATGTGTATATTTAAAAGAAAATCAAATAAAAAAACAATTCAAAAATATATAGAATTCTATACCTATCAATGAAATTTTCAGTTCTAGTCGGGCGACGCCATTTACAATGCTACTCAATAATAATAGGCTTGGTATTCCGATAACGGAACAAATCTCAACTTTTCGGATTAATAATAATCGCTGAGTGTTCCGAGTGAAAACGGAAGCGATGCATGAAATACCGAATGACACCTTTAAAACAGAAAGAATGAAAATAAATTTTTAACGACTTCCCCGCTCATAGGCTTTGCCTAATTTCATATTAGATTGATGTTTATATTTTATTTTAAATTGATAAGTTCATTGTTTGAGAGTTTTTGTGTATTATTGAGCATGAAATTGAAAGAAAAGAAGATAAGCTTTTGAATAAAGCTTGAAAGACAAGACAATTGATAGTTCTGGCTTCTATAACTTTATATGTCGCTTTTATTTTGACGTTGCGACAGTAAAGTTATGGGTCAACCCTATTTGCAAAGGCTACCAGAATTTGACAGTTCGTGCGCGGTACATAAAAACCTCTTTAAATCAACCTTATTAATCAAATTTGGGTCAAATAAAAATACCAATTGATAAACAAATCAATTTTGAACCAATTCATGTTTTGTTTTTAAATGAAACTTCAATGACATTGTGTACCCAACTATTTTTAGAGAAATATGTAGAGAATGTTTACCAATATGGAGTCTGCTTTCAAATGAGATCTCGCGGGACTTCATGTTTTGGAAATTCTAGCATCTATTTTTAGTAACGGACCGTACATTATTTTTAGTAAGTGTATGATTTCTATATAAAAACAAACAAATAATTCATAAATCATCACTTAAAACAATATAAATCCAACATGTTTTTGGTACAATGTCTATTATTGAATAAATACACCGTTATTCATAATTGCAAAGCCATGTTTTCAGTTAAAAATAGCATTTGGGTCATGTGTCACCAAATGTCATGCAAAGGTATCCGAACCTTAATTCTCGCTGGTCACGTGATAATTAGGGCAGCAATGGCGGCGAATTTTATGAAATGTGAACCCGCTGATAAACTTTGAGGCAATATTTCATCAATCTAACTTTCTGCAGTGTTCGCATTTACTGAGTAAACATATCAATTTACTCGCTAAAATTGCCAGGGAGGAAAGAAAAAAAGGGCTGTTGAGTCCCTGGGACGAAACACTTTTTCCCCGATAATTGGTCAATTATCTCTTAAGTTTTTTTGCTCTGCTTGAAAATGATTTTCTATTCACTTTAAATAAATTGTATTATAAGAACTTGACCTTCACCTCATTTTCATTTGTTCCTTTCTCATTAGCAATGCAGATTTATATCCCAAACGTAGACTAGGAGCAAGTGCTCGGCCTCGTTTTGGGCCAACCTATCAATGGTATCCGCGAACATCAACAGTCACAAATTTGATTGTATTATGAAGTTATGCAAACATTGACATTTTTGTAATTGAGGACTCGTTCCATTTGAATTGGGACGTAACAGATCTATTAGCACTGAGTCCCAGGTACTCAGTAAAGTTAGGGAAAATCGCTAACACTGTTTCTGTGTTAAAAAATATAGACTGAAGGGTCCCAAATATATCTAACTACCTGTATTAAAATAGCTTTTGTCCAGATCACGCAAATTTATTGAATTACAGCATGACATAAAAATGTCACGGTTTTGGTTGACTTTCGATACGGGGTTGGCTTCAGCGAACAGGTCTAGCAATACTATAAAACCTGTTCGCTGAAGTATCTTTAGCTAGACAATTGACATTTTTTGTATTTTTTATGATGCTATGCGTTTTTGAGCCAAAACTATTAGACATCAGGCTTGACTGACAAAAACTATAACAAGCCTGTAACGTCTAATATATTGGACTAATGAGCAGTGTATACGGGCACTTCCTAGAGGGTTAGGGCTTAAAGTTAACAGAATTTTTAAAGCATGAATTTTGCTGCAGACAGATTCAAAAAGAGCTCCCATACATATTTTTATATATTGAACAAATTAGCAAATATACCTTCTCTAATAAAGGTTGAATTGGATTACAGTTTGGATCTTTTTCTTCCATTTTTCTAGTCTGTTTAATTTCCAATTCTCGGATAAGAAAAATTAAACGAAGTTATCAACAGTATCCCGCATAGAAGTATTTGACATAAGAAGCGAATACATATTAATTTACGAACTGACATTATTTCGGGTTTTGCGAAAATCGTTTATTAGCTGTGCGAAATTAAATTTGAGAAACAATTACAATTCTCATTATGGAATGATATGCTGTTTTATATTTCTCTGTACCAACGAAGTCATTATAAGATGTGCACGTCCAGTTTGTCACAACAAGAAAAGAGAAGAATACTAAAAATACGCCGTTATACACTTTTTACTTAACTTTGATACACATGTGTGCAGGTCACCAGAATGTGTAAAAAAAACTTAAGAACAAGAAAAAAAGTAATTCAGCTTATATACTTCTTATTTTTAGGTCCAATTCTAATTGATTTTCATTGGTTTGGCATTTTTGCTCTAAAAACAAACACCCAAAAGATAGAGAAACTTCAGCATACAGTAGAGGTGTATGAATAGTTTTAAATGATTTCAAATCTACATATGACCAGGGTCTTTCAAATAGAAAATCTATTTGAAAGACCCTGATATGACACACTATTAAAAAAGTAGATATGCCTACCCTACAATAATCAAGAATGAAAAGTATAGCCAAAGAATTTTTAAATCGCAATAATATGTGAAATGTCAATTCAAAAAGAAATAGTCCCGAATGTTTTAGTTAATTGTAAGTGACGCGTTCATATTCAAAATTTCTATTCGATTCAAAGTTTATCAGTTAAATATTTCCAACCCAGTAGCAGGAAAATATATTCCATTCTATTTATTTCATTTCGCAAATTTTGCATATTTTTGATAAGGTGTCTGATAAAGCTTGGGGTGACTGATAAAGCTAGGTTTATCAGGCATGCACTTTATCATCAGAAATCAACGTAATGACATGATAAATATATATATCTGTGGGAAGACCAAGAGAGAGAGAGAGAGAGAGTAATGCAACCATACCCATCCACACAGGAAGAAATTAAGACTCAGTTTATAAGCACTTGTAAACTGAAACAAAAAAACAGTCTACGAAGGAAATATATCGTAATAGTAAGTGAAACTTAATTCTATAAATCTTTAGAGTACATAATTATGATACATTGTTGGCACTGTACAGGTACAAAAGAACACATTAAGATTTATTAATTACAAAAAGTAGTAAAATTAATTACAACAGTTATAAACATACTGTAAGTATTCTATTCTAAGTATAAAGAATAAGTACAACCATATATTTGAAGAAAAAAATTGAAAGACGTATTATCCATCTGGGAACATAAAGTGTATAAGTTATATAAGAAACTTTAGATCTTTAATTACAGCCGTGATTATGAACATTTCGCGAAAGTAAAATACACGCAAATAAAGCGGAAGTAGTAATGTCAGTCACGTGATACTTTGTGTCAAAATGGTGGACAATGTCAACATCAGTAACCATGCTATTGTAAATAGTTTCATTTAACTGCATGTTATAAACTTGATTGAGTTCCAAAATAAAATTCCAAAGAAAAAACATTTTCATCAACCAGGTATTTCAAAATCACTTTTTCATGTCATTATTTCTTTAAAATCCTGTGAATTTTACAGTGTTTATATTTCTTGTGACAGCACGTTTGTCATGGAAGATGCAAGGGAGATAATATACTGGCAGTATATTACGGCAAGGCTAGAACTTTTGGCTAGTACGGCTAGTCACTTCCTTTCCTGAAACCACTCTAATTTGCTTGTAGAATATAGCGAAGAAGTTTTAGAGATATTTAGAATGAGGAAGAAAACTTGAATTTATTATTAAGGTTTTTAGACACCTTGTGGCTTAATTCAAGTTAATTGTCCTTATTTAATTTCGATTATACTTAAATCACCTTACAATGTGTTATTTTTCGTACTGCAAACAACTGGTCCTGTGAATTCAATTTAATATGACTGTGAATTAAATTTAATATGACAGTGAGTAAAGCCTATGAATCGGAAAGTCAGAAAAGCACATTTTCTAAACACATTTTCTTTCATTCTTAATTTTACATTTTTTTATTTAAAGGTGTAATTCCATATTTCATGCACTGCTTAGGTTTTCAATCGGAACATGTCAAATGTTATTCTTAAACTGAAATTTGTGATTGTTCCGTTATCGGAATATGCCACTATTTATCATGAAGTTACATTAAAAATGGCGGTGCCCAACTAGAAATGACACTTACAATTTCACTAGGATAGAAATCTATATATATTTTTTTTTTTTATTTGATTTCCTTTTAAATAAACACATCTAGTCTACAGGCCGGCATGCCAAAGAGCTATGCACTTCACAGTCTCAACATTTGAGTCGATTTGACTTCCCTGTATTAAGATGAATTAAGATGTGCGGCAGTGTTTTGCATCATCTTTATGTTATAAAGTAATTAAACGCAACATTCTACAGTAGTTCATTGATACAAAGTGTTTTACCATCAATATTTTGTTGAATTGTTTTAAATAATTTATCGAAAATGTTGAAATTTTTGTATAATTATAATTATCATAAAGTCTTTGGCAAGTGGGACTTCATTATATATATGAAAAAAATCCACCCTAAATGCTCTTACACTGCCAGTTGGAAATGTCCAACATTATTTTTGCACAAAAACCACTATATTTTATGATAAACCCTTTACCAAAAAATACCAAAAAAATTCTTAAAATGATCATAAAAAAAGAAAGAAATTAGCTGATTGTTAATTAACAGAGATGGTATAAAGCAAATATTTACATTAGTAATTGCATTACAGTATAATTATGTCACCTAAATTTCTTTTTGAAATATTCCAATGTCAAAGAAAATTTAGTTATATCCAGTTTTTCTGTATATTTTGGTCATTCGATACACCAAAGAAATAAGGCTTTGTGATATGTGTTTCAACGCTTTTATATATTTTGACATATGTTTCAAACAAGTATTTGTATCATGGGAAGTAATGAACATGTCTTTATTTGAGCTCAAACCTGGGATGTGTCTCAATAACCAAGTTATCACTATGTGAATGATGAAATAAATGAAGTTAATATTCTCAAGCATATCATAAGATTCTTAAATAATAATATCATAGCTGGCATGCTATCAGGATGTAAATTAATAACTTGATAGGAAATTAATTTTTTACTATTAGCTATCTTATCAATATTAGAAAGCATGTTATTAGAATAAGGAAATACAAAATTGAAGAATTATCAAAAAGGAAACTAAATGTACATGATTAATAGTTTCTAGTCTACAATTTTCATGTAATTTTGTTGTGATTAATTCTTTGAGGGATCACTTTTTTCCAGATTTTTAAATTTATTTTGCATACTTAATGCAATTTCAATGTAAATATATTACATTATTTTTTGTTGTTTATATGAATGTATGAATGACAGGCAATACTTATCACTATTTTCCTTAGATAGCATTTTGACACTTACTCAATACACTCGGATAATTATCTTTGCACATTTTGATGTTCCCAACTTGTACAGATAAATTATCAGTAAATTAAGGTCAAGAGTTTTTCTTATTTGATCAAGACTAGATAGTTTAATGTCAAATAAATAACGCCCTGATAATAACTCAATATTCACCTTTTTATCATTTATTTCTGTATTATCTAAGTTAATATAATATCCTTCTTTAGACTTTAAAGTTTGCTATGATAATAAAACTATAAAACATATCTTTAAACCACATGCATTGAGGGAATATTTTAACAGAGTTTTTATAATTATATTTTGTCAAAGTAGTGTAAATCATAAGGTTATATAGATTTTACAGTTTGAATTAAACTTTAGTATCTTAGTTATAATGACTGTTGATGACTTTGATAGTACTATGATTATTATCATGATTTGATAATGGTAAACATGAGATAGATAAATTGTTGTTGATAAACAGGATTGTTTAGTTATAATATGTATGTTGAAATGAAATTTCTTGCTCTAGCATTCAGTTGCATGTAGATACCTATTGAACATAGATTGGATATTAATATTTCTTGACAAACTTAAAATGACGTTTAAACAACAAAAACACATACAGTTTTTCAAAATATTACTATTTTGTCATTGACGCGTTTCGGTGAACAATACCTTCATTTTTTGATAAACTTAATTAATTTTTAATGAATCAAGAACAGAACTTTCCAGTTTGCAGACGTTTTGTGTAATGTTTTGTTGAAAAGTTTTTTGTTTCACTCAATGCAAAATTTAAGATGTTCATATAAATCATGTTAAAACCAGTTTCATATTTTAGCCTATAAGTAGGTAGATTCAATTTAGTTTCTTTTAAAAAAAATTAACAGTTTTGAAAAAAAATGTATTTCAATGTACATGTATATATATAATTTTATATGTTACAGTGTACCACCATCAGTGAGTAGATATAAGAGAAGGATAAGATGCTAGTTTGGATTATTTGGAAAAATATTCACCAGCATTAAGTGTTGATTTTAGTGAAGGAACATATTGTTATTTGGATTTTACCTCTATCTCTAACCAGAAACTATGAAAATGAAAAGGTAACTAATTGTACATTTCTGTAAATACTGATTGATGTGGAAGTTCATGTTTGATGTTATATATACCCACATATATCATTTCACTAAAATAAAATACCGTAAATAACAGTGAATAAGGGGTTGTGTTACTTGTTCAAGTTGAAACAATTAAAAGGATATGTTTTCTGGTGTAAATTATTAAAAATGTTCAAACTTATGCTATCAGTTTGAAAAAATCATTTTTGACTGCTTGTTGGCACTAAAGTCTTGTGCATTATTTTGCTTGCAGGTATATTTTAGTCACTTGCCTTATTAAAAGGTGCATGACTTTCATTTGACTGCTTGCATGCACCTTTACATTAATTGACTGTTTGCAGGTATATTGGTTGTCACTTGCCTGCTTAAAGGCAAATGACATTTTGAGCCGTGCCATGACAAAACCAACATAATGGGTTTGCGACCAGCATGGATCCAGACCAGCCTGTGCATCCGCGCAGTCTGATCAGGATCCATGCTGTTCGCTATCAGTTTCTCTACTTGTCATAGGGTTTGTAAGCGAACAGCATGGATCCTGATCAGACTGCGCTGGTCTGGATCCATGCTGGTCGCAAACCCATTATGTTGGTTTTGTCGTGACACGGCTCAATTTTTATTTGACTGCTTGACTAGTATTTAAGCAGTTTGACGTAAATTTGAAAAGAGTTTCTCCTACCTGACATTTGTTTTTAATTGTAGTCAGACAACTAGGTAACAAGTTGTTTTTTGTATTATAATGTATTGAGTACTTATTGATCTGAGAAGCTTCTTTTTTATTCAAACTGAAGCAGGGGTAAACACTCCAAATATATTCAAGGTGTAATTATATTTGTATAAATATCATAATAGTTTAATGATAGTATGGCGATCTGTTGAATGTATCTGAAATGAAAGAAAGCTATGATTAATTCATTCATTGAATGTTGTAAATAGATAATTTTATATCGAGTTTCCAAATATTCTATATTTGCTTGCTTTATAAAAAAAATGGGGATTTTTTTTCGTAAGTAATTCAGATGTAAGTGTTACTAGATGAGCTCTGTGGGTGAACAATTGAATCTTTTCAAAAATATTTTGCTTAAGAAATAACATCGGCCTGAGAGGTGTATATCGGCTATTTAACACCGGTTTGGAGTTTTGATGCGTAGGAATTGACCACGAAGGCCGTAGGCCTGAGTGGTTAATTTTGTCGCATCAAAACGACAAAACCGGTGTTAAATAGCCGATATACACCTCTCAGGCAGATGTTATTTCGATTCTAACACGATAAAATAAGGAAAATCACTAAACTTATTTTACAAGCGGAAATAACTTCCGGTGCCGATTTTCGTATAACGCTGTTCGATTTTCGCACCCTACTGTTGCGAAGATATAGAAATTATCAAACAAATGAAATAATAAGAAAAATACCTTATTTTATGAAGTTTTTAACAATAAAAACTTACGTCGTATCGTGTTTACATCAGTGCCCCATTTAACATTATTGTATGTATGAAATAACGTCAGCTTGTTTATGAATGAGTTGTTTACTTAGGATGACGTCATTTACGCTGCTTGCGGATTGGCGCCGTTTTGTCAAAGTATTTATTAACTGATATGGATCTAATATGTGGCGTTAGCGTATGTGAGATATTATTTCGGTTTTGTATGAAAAGAAAACATTATAAGAACTGAAAATATAAATAAAAATGCCTTTTATTAGTGCTTTAAAATGATTTGTAAACTATACAATCGAGGGTGAAAACATAACAGCGCATATACAAGTAGTCCCTAACCGGTGTTTATTGTCAGTTTAACACCAGTTTTTTTCCTTCTTTGTCTATAGTGACAAAATCACGTGAGTGTTAGAATTAAAATTATAGTTTTAACTTATATTTGGGAACAATTTTTATCCAAAGCTAATTATCATATTGTTCCAGTAGATCATTATACTCGGCCCTTTTGTTGTCTTGTATTGTATGGTATGGTTTAGTCATATATGAAAGTGGGAGTTTTAATTGCTGCTTATTTGTACCATTTTCAAAATAAAAAAGTAAGTTACAATTACAACGGTTAAACAAAGGATAGATTTAAAGATCTTTTACGAAACCTAAAATATCATTAGAATTGTAGAGCTTGAAGAGTTTCTTTATCAATATGAAATATTTATTTAACACTTTTGGATATTGTTCTGCTGTACATGTATGTTTTATTTGTCATTTCTTTAATATGAAATGAAACAAGATGGATTATTACACACAAAATTTTGGTATGTTGATTTCAGAAAATATAACTTAAAACGGGGAGTTCTTTGACAAGTATATTCTGCTTTTTAACTGTTTCTCAAGCATAGCACCATGTCATCTTTGCGTTCTGACAAAAGACAGTAATTTGAGTATGATGTTTTGATATTGTGATCATCTTGAAATAGAAAAAGAATTGTTTGAAAACCAAGCAGAAGTAGCACAAACTATTTACACTAAATCATTCAAGAAAAGGTTGAATAAATTAATGTTAATCTTGTGTGAAAAGAAAAAAATCTTAAGCTTTATTTTTGATTTACTGTATAAATTCTTAATCAATTAACAGCAGGTGGCAGGGATCTTGCAGTACCATACCTGAGTACCCTGCTTACTGTAATCATGCCAGAACCATGTCCAACTAACCATACCAGTACCATGTCCAACTAACCATACCAGTACTATCCATTTCCATGTCTGTTCATTGTAATTATACTATACTTTGTCCACTGTAACCATATCTGTACCATGTACATTTTGTCCGACCAATGTACCTGTACCATGTGGACTGTAAGCTCACCTCTAACAATACTTCCTTTAAAAAAGGGAGCAGTATTGATTAAACCAATTAATATTTAGATGTTTCCTATTCTTGTAGTTCCTGGCTTCCTGAAGGTCTACAATAAATGAGTCATAAAGAGGTCCCAATAACTTGTGTATTGATCTGTAACAGGTAACATGATCACCTATTGATTTCCCTTGTCCTCATCTTGTCTTGCTTCAATATTTCTTCTTATCACAGTGTATGGGACTTTACTTGTGAATCAGCTGAATGGTAAAACATTATTTATTACAACTTAATATGGTTGGTAATATTATATTTATTCTTATTAGTAAAATTAATTAGTTCATTAAACTATTATTTTTCATTGGTGAAATTATTCACTGGCACTGCTTTAAAGGTGCTCTACTGAGGTTAAAAGACTTGAAAATATAAAATTTGAGATTCTTACATTGATCATTAGTGATGCATTTAAAAATGAAAAATCTGCAAAAGATGATAATTAAAGAAATATTCTAAAGAGCTAAATTAAAAAAATTGATATTTAGTTCATTTTTAAGTGTAGTTTTGAGTGAAAAGTGTTGCAACACTTTTTCATTTTGGGGTCATTTTGCGCAACACTTTCATTTTGGGGTCATTTTGCGCACACTTTCATTTTTGGGTCATTTTGCGCAACACTTTTCATTTTGGGGTCATTTTGGGGTCATTTTGCGCAACACTTTCATTTTGGGGTCATTTTGCGCACACTTTCATTTTGGGGTCATTTTGCGCAACCCTTTTTCATTTTGGGGTCATTTTGCGCAACACTTTCATTTTGGGGTCATTTTGCGCAACACTTTCATTTTGGGGTCATTTTGTGCAACACTTTCATTTTGGGGTCATTTTGCGCAACACTTCCATTTTGGGGTCATTTTGTGCAACACTTTCATTTTGGAGTCATTTTGCGCAACACTTTCATTTTGCGGACATATTGCGCAACACTTTCATTTTAGGGACATTTTGTGCAATTGAAATGATTATTGCGGGAACACAAAGTAATGGAATGATCTGAAATTTTGTACACAAGTTATTAGCATGGACCTTCATCAAATGATACTCAAATCAAGATAGAAAAATATAAATTTGCAGTCCCTAAAGGTAAAAAAAAACCTCAATGGAGGAGTCCCTTTGAGGCTACAGCTTTATGAAAGAAATGAACAACAAGAATGTACATTTTTTTCTGTAGTATAGATTTATTACTTTTCATTTTGAATTTGGTATACATGTATTTCTTTCTTTTTAATGCTTTTTCACCATATTTTTTTTATATACACAAATCTTGACTTTTTAATATACATGTATTTGTGACTTATAATCAGTGCTGAATGTTGTTGTAGACTTGTTTGTTATGATCTTTAAAAGTAACTAACACTTTGAATTGGACTAGACTTTATTTTTTTTTATTTATTTCTTTTTTTCTTTTTTGGTTTTATGTTACATCGACACAGTATAGGTCATATCGCCATGTTCCAGCTTTACTGGTGGAGGAAGACCTCAGGTGCCCTTCCTTGCATTATTTCAGACACCTGTGTAGAACCACCGACATTCCGTAAGCTAGCTGGATAGCTTCCTCACATAAAAAAAATCCAAAGTCCCTGTCGGGATTCGAACCCACAGCGGTGAGGGGCAAGTGGTTTGAAGTCAACAACCTTACCACTCAGCCATGGACGCCCCAAACTAGACTTTAAGAACACAGTCCTATGAACCAGACTTAAACTGCATTATTTTGCTTTTGGACTTGACACTGGTTAAGTCTGATCAGACTGATCAGATCAAATCCCTAAAGTTGCCATATAGTTATGAATTTAAAGTGTTGTTATGACCAAACACCCAACAAAACAAACATTGCAAAAAAGATCCATAAAGACTGAAACAAAAATACCCTTTTCATCACTTTTGTTCTTTGGGTAAGTTTTTCCAATATAACAAGTTTTGATATATTTCTATAGAGATCAAAAGATGGTGTGAACCACACATCTATGTATCTTACCTACAATATGTCTTTAAACTCTTTATTATATAATTACTTTCTTGATTCACATCACCAAGATTTCCTTGTATATAATTATCATATAATCATGTGAAATGAAGCTCTAAAGATGAAAGAAAACTTGCAAAAATGTCCATCATTGTGCTACCTCAATAAGACATTGTACTTATGATAA